CATTTTGCTACATATATATTTGGTTCCATAACCCCAGTAACATGCCAAAACATATCCATATTTAAAGAAATAGATGCTCATGCACATATACACACATATACATAAACATGTATACACACACATACCCTTAAATGCATGCATAGACATGCACAAATCAAAGCCCCCCCCCATGCCTTGGAAAAACCATATCTTGTTGTTTTTTTAAACTGGCTCATGCAGGGACACGTTATTCTGAGGCTGGCTCCTTTGCACACCTTGTGAATCTATTACTGCTGCAATTAACAGACCTTTTTCTTAAATGAACATATTAAAAAAATAACTGGAGGTCTGTTGAGATACACAAGGCCAGGTCGAACCATTGCCTCAATAAGTGACTTTAGGCATTTTCAAATTTGTCTCTCAGCAGACTAAGTGCTATAATAATGCTTTAAACAAAAAACTCAAAAGAAATTGCAGGGCAGCAGAAAGGAGATGGAGGAAAAATAAAAATAATATCAACCATCAAATATTTTCCGAGCAACTTAAAATGTACAATAATACATTAAGGAAGTCAAGAAATTCATACTTCGCCAAAATAATCAGTAATAACAAAAATAATCCCAAGGTCCTCTTTTCCACCATAGATCATTTATTTAACCCTGATTTTAAAAGCTCCAAAAGAACCCCCACAGACTCGCTCTGTGAGCAGTTTGCAGACCACTTCAGGGGAAAAATCAGCGCCATCAGATCTGATATTTTATCTAATCGCGATATGATTGTAAACACTTCTGAGGGCTCGATTGTACCTGAGGAGACACTGGACAGCTTTGTCCTGGTTAATGCTGAGAACTTTCAGAAGGTTTTCTCCACAGTGAGACCCACCACATGTCTTTTAGATCCAGTCCCTTCTTCACTCTTTAAAACACTTTATGGATTTTTTGAGGCTGAGCTTTTATACATGATGAATTGCTCTCTTCAGTTGGGTGTCTTCCCTGCTGCCTTTAAAACGGCGGTGGTGAGGCCCCTTCTGAAGAAGAGCAATTTGGATTGTAATGATTTTAATAACTACAGACCTGTATCCAACTTACCATTTTTAAGTAAAGTCTTAGAAAAACTTGTTTTTACTCAGATTACTGATTTTCTCAATGATAGACAGATCCTGGAGATATTCCAGTCTGGATTTAGGGTGAACCACAGCACAGAGACGGCTCTCCTAAAGGTTTTAAATGATCTTAGATGTAACTGGGACGCCCAAAAGCTCTCAGTCCTGGTGCTACTGGATCTAAGCGCAGCCTTTGATACAGTAGACCACGCTATTCTTTTAAACAGACTAAAACACATGGTGGGCCTCTCTGGTGCTGTACACAACTGGTTCACTTCCTATCTCTCTGACAGATCTTTTATGGTGAGTATGGATACATGCTCCTCTAAGATCCATAAAATGACATGTGGTGTGCCATCAAGGGTCGGTTCTAGGCCCTGTACTTTTTAATTTGTATATGTTGCCTCTCGGCAGTGTCATCAGGAGGCATGGAGTGAACTTCCACAGTTACGCTGAAGACACGCAGCTGTACATCTCCGTGTCTCCTGATGACACCAGACCAATGGATGCCCTTTTTAACTGTATCTTGGATATAAGATCTTGGATGGCAGAAAACTTTTTACAGCTTAACCAGGACAAAACTGAAGTTTTAATTGTCGGTCCTGAGGCTCAGAGAGAGAAACTCTTGTCTAAATTAGAGGCATTTTCACTATGTCCTTCGCTACAAGTGAAAAACCTGGGTGTTATTTTTGACTCTGAGCTTGGTTTTATCCCACATGTTAAACATGTAACTAAAATTGGATTTTATCATCTAAAAAATATAGCCAGAGTCCGCCCTATTCTCTCTCGGGCCAACACGGAGATGCTGATGCATGCTTTTATTACCAGTCGCATTGATTACTGTAATGCCCTGCTCTCTGGTCTTCCTAAGAAGAATATTTCAACTTTACAACTCTTGCAAAACTCGGCAGCTCGTGTGCTGACGAAGACCAGAGGGCGGGCCCCCATTACACCGGTTTTAGAATCGCTGCACTGGCTCCCCGTGTGTTTCAGGATCGATTTTAAAGTTCTTTTATTGGTTTTTAAATGTCTTAATGGTCTTGGGCCTTCTTATCTCTCAGATCTGCTTTTACCATACGAACCCTCGCGGACCCTGAGGTCCTCTGGTACTGGCCTTTTGATTGTCCCTAAAGTCAGGACACATACTCACGGAGAGGCAGCTTTTCAGTGGTATGGTCCTCGTCTGTGGAACAGCCTGCCGGAGGCGCTCAGGGCCGCAGAGAACGTACATGTTTTTAAGAACAGGCTCAAGACCCACCTTTTTAATTTAGCTTTTACTTAGCGTTTATTTATTTTTTATGCTTATTTATTCTATCCTGTTATTCTATTATTAATTTAGGATTTACCTAATATTTCTTGATTTTATTCTTATTCATTTTTTAATCCTCTTACTCTATTTATATTTATATTTATATTTATATTGTATCCTGTTCTTATTTATTTTATCATTTTACCCTGTATATATCGTATTGCGTCATATCTCCAGTGTTTCCTCGGAGGGCGCTCTCTGCACCGGGGCTGTTATTGACCGTGGCTGCTGGTCTCTGGGGTCCTCTCAGCCTGGTTGGGGGGGCTCCTTGGCCTCCCTCCTGCTGTGTGCCCAGCCCGGAGGCTGCGGTCTGTGACCGGCTCCCGGTGCAGACGGCTCTCTGTTATAATGTTTCCTCACTTGGCTCATGCGAGCCCAGCCCAATTTTTACTCTTTAAGTGTGCGCGTGTGTGTATGTGTGTGTGGGTGAGGGTGGGGGGATATATGTGTATTGAGAGTGTGGGGAGTGAGTTGGAGGGTGGGGTGGGCTGCTTTTAACTATGTAAAGCACTTTGTGCTACATTTTTTCTGTATGAAAAGTGCTTTATAAATAAAGATTGATTGATTGATTGATTAAACTTCTATATTATTATGACCCAACAGCTTTCTAGCTGGTAAAGGATCCTGTCAATTCTCATCTGTGTGGGTTAACATGTGTGAATGTTGTAATAAATTAATAATGTCCAAGGCCTCGCTTTAGATGGACTAACCTTTTTGGAGTTAAAAAGATTTCATTTAGACTCATTTGGACACAATTAATTTGTTTGATTTGGTATTAAGACTGACATGAGGAGTTCCAACATGTGAAGTTTTGGCGCTAATACGCTGCTGTTTTCTGTTTTTTAAGAGATAGTCGACTGCATTTTTCTCTTCTGTTCACGCCTGTTCAACTCCACAAGCAAACATATACTCTTCTTCACACAAGTCTTAAGTAGCTTTACAGTCAATGCGTCAACCGGAGGTGCAACTCCATAGAGTGTCTTTGGTTTAATCAATAGGCCTGATCGATAGCTCATTTAACAGGTGATGCAGCAGCAGAAGGGCCTCTCCGCTACAGGAATACAATTGGCAGTTTTATAATGTGAACACGCGGCCCACAACATATAACCTGAAAGACAAACGCAAGGATAAAACATGCAAGGGTGTGTCCTCAAGCTGAAAACCTCTTCTGGGTTGATTCCTGCACTACTGCGATTACTACGCTCTCTAAATTTCTGTGCCCCACCACAGTGAATATGAGGTTTCCATTTGCCCACCAGCACGATTGTTCGGATCTCCTTGAAGGGATATTTAAAATATGTCTATGGATGGCATAATTTGAGGCCAGTTACAGGGATGTGTTTGCAGATAACAGTCATTTAAAATTACTGGCTGGTCTGTGACCATAATGAGATCCTCTGCTAGTAACGTAATAAGTGCAGCCACAAGTGGTAATGCTCCTAACTAGCATGTTGGAAAAATGGTTGTAATGTCTTGCAGCCTTAATGGAAACTGCTAAATTCATGCATTTGAACTTTGTTAAGTTTCTGGAATCATGGAAGCATATAATTTAACTGTTCTGAAAAGGATTAATACATATACAAACTAGAGGTTGCAGGAAGTGACGTATACAGAATAAGGTGGTTAATGATTAAAGTTTGTGCACATGAAAGCCTAAGAAGATATTTAAAGAAGAACTGGAAATGTTTCAATAGAAATCTAGGTTTAAACGGGAATTCATTATTACTAGATCAGAAAGTGAATGGTGTTTTAAAAGTGTTTTAGGTGTTTTAGTCTTTTAAAAAAAGAGTAAGCGAGATAGAGAGTGTTCAGATTGCGCAGTGCTGCGTGATTGTGTTTTCTTCTTTGGGCTTGGTAGATTTAATACACATCAAAACAACAAAATTACTGGCAGAAATAATATGGCTTTTTTCAGGAAGCTAGACTAGATATATTTTTATGCAATGCTGGGCTGTGGTTAGAAATTCCTGGGGACTGTGAAGGATTTGTTCATTTCCAAAGCAAATGAAGACATTTATGTGATGCAATGAATAGTGGTTGAGTGTGATTTACTGTTTGTGATTGTGCAGTTGTTTTTTTTCTTTTGTTGTTGTTGTTTTTTACTCAAGGGTATCAGGCATGTATCGACGTGTGGGGTTCTAGTGTTGCCAGATCAGATCAGTGTACACGCACTTGTAACCTTTTCCTGTCACTCAGAGTTTGCACACTCACACATATCTACCCCTTCTACACTTGCTGTACATATATACACACAAACACACACACACACACCTCAAAAGCCTCGTCCACATAAAACCCTCGCCTCATCTCCATACTCCCTCTCTACTGCCCCAATGGGAAAGGGTTGAGGCCTTATCTTAGCAAAACACTCCATCCAAGTCCCCACTTACTAACAGGCTTTACTGGCTAATCTTTAGCTCAGACAAGCGCCTGGGCACCAGTCGAAAAGTGAAGGAGAGTGGGAAAGAGACACTGAGCAGAGAAGCAGGAGGAGAGAGGGATGAAAAACTCTTTTTTCGCTGATTGTGCCTGAATTATGTATCAACCCTAATGTATCTGTCCTGCCTATATAAAATATACACTTTCCCTGTCTTCACCGCCCTCTCTCAGTGCCTTGTGGTGGGAACATCACATCAGACAATGGGACCATCTTTTCCCCGGGTTACCCTGAGGAGTATCCAAGCTCAGCTGACTGCTCCTGGCTGATTACTGTGGCTCCTGGATTTGGCATCAAACTGAACTTCTCCCTCCTTCAAGTTCATGGGCCACACGACTTCATTACTGTCTGGTAAGAAATGACAGCGTAACAGGCTCCAGATATGCAGAAATAGTTTCAATGAGACAATGCGGACAGTTTGTTATTTTGAGGAAAGCAATATTAAACTTCACCACCGTCTCAAAAAATTCTCAAGAACTTGTTATCAGGCTTTCTTTAATCTTTGATTATTTGTTGTTTTTGTCTTTTAATACGATGTGTTAAATACACTTTTGCCTTTGTGCTTGACTGAGCATCAGTGGGTAAAGCTTCCTTTCATCACCTCCATAATACATGGTTAAAATTGCCATATGTGGCACCAAAGCCAGGTTTTTGCATACACGATGTTTGCCAGTTCTAGTTGATCCTCCAAAGCTTCCAAAGGTCCCAGCTCTCAGTGAGACAGGAGGTCTGACTGCCAGCCAACCTGGCAACATGACCACATGAAAGATCCACATGGTTTTCTGGTGACATCTACGTTTAACTGTTTGCGCTACTCATAGAAATTTGTTTGAGGCTTTTTTAGACCACCGATAATTTAAGTCAACATGGCTAAAGCGAGCCAAAATGTCCACTTTCTATTGTATTGTTTCTCATCTCTAAATGGTCCCCGCTGTGCTGATCTTTCCCAGCTAGTTCCTACAGAGCCAAGATGGGGGACTATCTTGTTCCCCATTTTCCAGCTACCACCGCTGTGTATCTATCCACTGAACTACTGAGCCAAGGAAATGGGCCCCTTAATGGCGGCTTGGCTAGAGTGCTGTCAGGCAGAAGTCCCTAGCCAGCCGTTTCCAGAGCTGCTTGTAATCTCCCATGCCCAGTCTGACAGCCAAAGACAGATGGTTTTTAAGCTGAATGGTTGTGGCAGGAATCTGGGAGCTGGCTTAATCGGCCATGCCCACACCAGGGGACTGCCAAGGCTGGGCCACAGCTTCCAGAGACACTCCCTTTGGATAGCTGTTAGCAGGAGCACCACAGTCGAGACCTGTCACTCCACGCTTACTGTATCTCAAATTCTACCTTATTTTAACATAATCATCCAAAACAGGTGAGGGGTAATCTCTTTGGGTTTGTTGAAGTGTGAGCAGCTTGATTATACTCTTCTGAAGCTGCTTGACAATAATCTGGCATGTGGCTTAGTAGTTTGTTTGCATCACAGACCCTTAAGGTTCTTTATGGCTCCTATACAAGTGAGCTCTGGAGCATAGACTGGTGTTTCCAGTGTATTGTTGTTTTTGCATTTATGGTTGACTTGCAACATTCCTCCATTTTTAGGGATGGTCCACAAGAAACAGCCAGGAAACTAGGTGTGTTTACTGATGGAGAGCCCAACGACCCACCCAGCAGCACATCTAATCAGGTGCTGATACGGTTCCGTAGTAATACAGAGAAGGGTGGACTCTTTCGTATCAGCTATCAAGGTTTGTACATGGTGTGGATCTAGCTTTGTTTCTAGCTCTTGATTTACATACATTCTTTGTTTAACTCCTTTCATGTCTTTGATGCACTCACAGCTTACAGACTACAGTACTGCCTCCCTCCCTCCATCATTCCTAATGCTGAGATTCTGATGGCAAGCAAGGAATTTAAAATTGGTAGGTGGAAATGCTGTCACAATAAGACCCATGCACTTAAACACAATGGCACTGACACTTCTGCCTTTTTGTATTTAATGTTGTTCCCATGCAGATTTGCAGAACCGTAGCATTTTGAAGCATTCATGAAGCTTCTAACTTTGGCTGTTTTTATTGCCTAGGTTCGCTGAATACACAGTCCATTCAGACACACCTCAAATGCATCACCTAGGGCAGGTGATCTCATTCCCTTTGAAGACAACAGAGATGAATTCCTGTTTCTGTATTTGTGTAGCTATTTGACCTTTATTATTCAGAGGCATAAACGTAGCAACACTGACATAGTGTCTGTAGGATCCCATGGGGATTTTTGTGTCCACAGATTCATCCCAGTTTTCACTGAAACACATGACTGATGATAACTTCTGTATTGTTATAGAATCCTTTATAAGGAGCACTTTTTACATGTATCATAACAGTTAATGCTACTGCTTCTGACCTTGACCTTGACTGTTGCTCTCCTTTGTCCGTCACTGTTTTCAGGTGATATAGTGCGCTACCGATGTCTCCCAGGATACCAATTAAGTGGAAACAGCATCCTGACCTGTCGGCTAGGTACACATTTGGAATTTGAGGGCCCTCCACCCTCATGTGATGGTAAGTGTTTGTTTACAACTTGAAAACATCCTGGAGTACCATTGATATATCCCTGGATATCCTAGCTTTGAGCACACTTGTACACATCAAACAAGGGTTGGGAGGTGATTTTTGTGACGTATACAACACTGAGTTGGACACAGTATGGTGATGGGTTGTGAAGGATCTTGCAGAAGGCTAAAGCACCTTAACTAGTGTGCCCTACATCAAATTTGCCAATGTTCATAAGGTTGAGTCATCAGGGGCCACCAATGAGATCAGCTGGTCTACTGGGATTTTACCTCATGGCCTAAATATAAACTCACTGGCCACTTCATTAGGTATTACTGTTTAACTGCTCATTAGGACAAATATTTGATCACATGGTAGCATTTCATTGCATTTAGGCATGTAGACATAGTGAGGACAACCTGCAAAAATTCAATCCGAGCTTCAGAATGGGGATGAATGGTCATTTTAGAGATTTTGAATGTGGCATGGATTTGTTTCAGAAATTGTTGATATACTAGAGAAAATGCCTTACCAGAGGTCAGACTGTTTCGAGCTGATAATAACAACATGGAAAAATCACTGACTGGTCTGATGAGTCATGATCTCTGCTGCAACGTTTGGATAGTGGGGTCAGAAAACAGCATAAAGAACACGAAAGCACAGATCCATCCTCTGTTGTATTAAGAGTTCAGTTTGATGGTGAAGGTGTATTCGTTTTGGCAACATTTTCTTGACAATTTGGGCTTCTGTATGGCAGTTGTTTAATGCCCCTGCCTACCGCAGTACTGTTGCTGACTATGTCCATCCTTTTATGACCTCTTCTGGCTGCTTCTAGCATCATAACATGCCATGCCACAAAAGGCAAATAATCTTACACTGATTTTTTAACATGACATCGAGTTCAGTGTACTCAAGTGGCCTCCACAGTCACTAGATCTCAGTCAGATCCAATAGAGCACCTTTGGGATGTGGTGGGAGGGGAGATTCATATCATGAATGTCCAGCTGACAAATCTGCATTAACTGTGTGACGCTATCATGTATCATGTACCAAAATCTCTGAGAAATGTTTCAAGCACCAAGAAAAATAGGGTCTAACCTCTTCTAGCAACATGTAACTGCCACTAAGTGTATATTTTGCCTAAAAAGCACCAAGAAGACAAATGGGTTCTGCTGCTGTGAAATAAACAGTATGTCAGAACTATATATGGTATAGGTAAGTCCTACTGGTTATGAGTTCTTGTGATAGTTAAGACACTTTACTGTCAAAAGAAATAACTTACAGTATTCCAAAGTAATCCTATCTGCCTGTACCATTTTTATCCTCTCCTACATTTAAGCTGATCAAATAGCATCAAGCACATGGTGTAAAAAACACACATTCTACGTGCACCAGCACAGAAACAACAGGGCCAGTCTGAATATGAACACACAAAATGTTTAAGCACCAAATGCAGTGATGTGGTTTGTTTACATAATATATATCTTAAGATGCATCGAACCATTTTCGAGTCTGATGAATCATAATGTTTTATATGTAGCACAAGTCAACACTGCCTTCATCCTCCAAGAGAGACTGTATGAGTTTATTTTCAGCAGTGTTATGTATCCCTTAGCTCTAATCATGGACTGATGACTCAAACATGGAGCTTCGCCTCTTTTCTTGCTCCTGCGGGTACCCTTTTTTGCCTGTAGTCAGGGAGCGACAGCCAGATATCAGCTTGGTACCATTTCCCATCTTGGCGGATGATGCTTGGCTCCCGTGAGGCCGAGCACGGCTGCTGTGGCGCTCTCTACATGCTGAGATATCGTCCTCCCAGAGGAATGCAGCACCCACCGCACGCACTATAACATCGTAATGCTGCACGTTGTGCACGCTACTTTTCCTCGGGGCGAGAGTCTGGGTGCATAAAGGGGTTTGTGCTTCACAGTATCATAAAAGCGTATCTTTCATTTTCTTTCTTTCTTTATTGGAAATGTGTGTCTCATTTAAGAATGCTTCGTGTGTCCCGTTCTGTTTGTGGGTTAGGTGGTGGGCGAGAGGGAGGTTTAGGCGAAGTTTGATAAATGCAACTAATTTAGTGTACTAAATAGGAAAAATATGCAAAGCTCTCAGCATGAGGTGAAAAAGGAGAGAGATACAAAAAAGAATTAGACGAAAGCAAGAGGGTAATGAAAGGGGAAGAGGAACTATGTGTAGGCTAATAATGGAGATGTGGAAAGTGCTTAGGACACCCAGTGAGAGGCAGAACGGAGAATACCGAAAGTGTCAAAAAGCGAGAGGAACAAGGCAGTCCCTTGTATGTATGTTCCCTGGATTTATTTGCCACCCATTTTTACCCCACAGACAGATATTTGCACCTCTATATGTGCAAGAATAAGCCTACAGTGTTTACAATCATGGAACATTGGCAGATGGTTGCCCCTCCCTAAATCTAGTTCTGCTGAAGGGTTCTTCTTGTTAACAGGATTTTTTTTCTTCCCACCATCGCTAAGTGATTGCTCAAAGGGGTCATCTAATTGTTGGAGTTTTCTCTGTGTTGTTGTAGGCTCTTTAACTTATAATATAAAGTACTTTGAGGCAACTGTTGTTGTGATTTGGCGCTAAATAAATAAAATTGAATCAAACTAATGCATAAAATCCAGTAATTTTTTTAGGCTTTTAATATAGGTTCAGTTGCAAAATTCCCTTCAACAATTTGTTTCCCTTTGTGCTGACTAATGTACTGAGAACAGACAACCCACCTCCTGCTCCCCTTTTCTCCAGCTTTTATTAGCTTTTTTTAGGGAGCTGAAAGCAGAGAAAAAGTTAAAAGACGATGCTCGAATGAGAGGGAGAGAGAAGAGGGTCAAAAGATAAACCGATAGGAAGAGAGCAGTTTGAGTATAACTCTGGATACGCTGGAAAAAGCCAAAAACTGGCCTGGAAAAGATGGAGGAGAAATTGCTAAATGAGCAGAAGGGTAGTGAGTAAATGAGAGTGGGGCTAGAGTTTAAAAGCAAGGCGAGAAAGGGAGACAGGGAGAGACTTAGTTGGAGGGCAGTGAAGAGACGAAGAGAACAGCTCATTGAAATGCAGGGGACATGCCGGCTGCAGCTGCACCTATCAAATCACCACTTCTAGCTCTGACAAGCAAAACCCTCCCTGCACATTTAGCAGCCCTCACTCCCCGCACACAAACACACACCGAGTCGCTGTATACGTATACTGTATGCACCTCCACGCCGGTCTAGCTGGTGTCTGGGTTACGCAGCGTTGGATGTTGTCATTCTGTGACAGTCTTCCAAGAGTGCAGCCCTGGAACCACTGCCGGGTCTGCAGTGTTCCTTGCCCCCTCGGCGCCAGCATCCTCTCTCATCCTCTGCATTCCCCTCCTCCCTCACTCGACACTCACTTCTCTCCCATGACTCACTAACATCAGACTTATGTTCTTACATAACACATGTAGCCTTTGTTCCCCAGACTTTCTTTGTCATTGTCTGAGGCTGCTTGAAAACAGAGCGCCGTGCATTCCCACACACTTTATAACACACAGGTGTCTGTCAATACCCAGATCTATCTGTCTCTACCTTCCCAAAAACCTGTCATACAGGCAGAGAAATAAAACCTACCATCATAAATATGTAAACACTGACACACAGTAACTTTAGTTTTTTAGCTGTTTAATTCAGAGAACAGTTGCCAGTCATCCAGATGGGTATTTGCTGCCATCGGAGCAACCGGTGGCTTGGTTCAGCATTTGATTTCCCTTCTATTTGATTACACTGGGTTGTATTGGACCCACGGCCCTTAACTACATTTGCTGTCTGCAGAGACCACAGGGAGTTCAGGCATCACACACACAAAGCTGCAGCATCAGTACAAAGTGTTGCTTGAATTCATTAATGAAAACACAATGAGCTCTGATGAGTCCAAATCCCTGTGTTTATCCCCCAGACAGATTTCTGGTTAAAACCTGCATAATAATCCATCACATTACTTTCCCAGCTAGTTACAGTAGCTTTCTTCATCCCTGTCCCCTTTTGTTTTTCTCGCCTCTTCATTTATCTCTCTTCCGCTCCGATTTTTTTCCCCTCTCTCTCTGCCCCTGTCTTCTTTTGTTAGAATGGATTACAGCTACCCCCTTCGTTTCCCATCTTCATTGTCATCCCTGACTTCTAAGAGTTGTTAGGCCCTGATCCACATTAATACTTATGTTGTGGCCCTTCCTATTCATTCGTCTCGTTATCAGACCTCGGCTTATGCTAATTAAAAGCCATCTCAACGGCAATGCAGCAGTTCAAGCTTGATACATATAGTAGATTTATGTATAGGGGCAGTTTGATTGGGAAGATATTTGCAAACTTTGAACAGTTTCCCCACAAACAGAAGGGACGCTTCACAGAACGCTGTCCCTGCTGCCTGTTTATTCCACTCCTCGTCTCATTAAAGTGAGATTTCATTTTGAGCTCTATCAGGGTTGATCTCACCTTGTGTGTCGAAGCACCCCCCCTCACACACACACACACTTTCTTTTTCTTTTTCTTTTTTCCAGCTGTCAGATTTGTCCCCTAATACCCTTTTGTTTACAGCCAGAGTGATGCTTCATTTCAAAGTGGATTAGTTTAATAAGTAGCAGCCTATAGATAAGCGCCCCTGCCCATCTCTTTCCATCAGCTCCGAGACAAGCTGAAGGGAGTTTTGAAGACACATCCAGGCTTTCTGAAAGGTCACTGACAACACATATCTCATCCTCGGAGAATTGATCATTTAATGAACTTCACTCTTAGATTTTATATGCCACTTCCAGGTGCAATCACTTCCACTATCGCTGACGGATTTAAACCTTTTTGACTCATATCCACTGAGGGGCTTGACGTTGTAAATGATTTTTGCAGACTTGGGGAATGTCTTCTCGGAATTTAGGATCATAGGTGATTAATGTTGCTTTACTTCCAGAAGTCGATGCCAGAAGTGGTACTTTGCCAGGCTATTTTCTTTTTTCTTTTTTTCTTTTTCTTTTTTTTTAGACAAAACTGCTGACAAATATTAATTGTTTGTTTGGAAGCATTATACTTAGGGAAATGTAGCAAATGCAACAAATGGTTACATTTGACAGAAAATAATTCTTACATGCCAGCTTACCTGACATTATCCGAAATTTCCTGAGGGAATAAATCCCATCTAGCTGACACGCCAACCCCAGTAAAACAAAGGGGAAGAATTATTTGCAGATGCTGTTTAAACCAAGGCTTTCTGCCATATTTTTATGCAAATTTCATAATCTTTTTCCCCTATGAACACAGAGAAGATGATGAACAAACCAAGGCATGCACAACTGTTCATTCACACACACAGGCTCACCTATTTACAAGTTAATAGTCGCTTCACATTGCTCAAGAAAAGAGGCACACAGCTTGAGCTCCAGTCAGAGAATTCAGGATTTCTCAGCTGTTGTGAAGGACCTCAAAGTGCCAAGTGCTTCCTTTGCCCTAAGGTAAAACAGTGCATGGGTATTAAAATTGCAGCACACGGCAGATACTTTATACCCCAAGCAAAGTTTTCTGCCACATTTGTTTGACAAACACAAATGCTTGCAAAAAAATCTATGCACATGCAGAGAGAGCACCTGGTCGAGTAAGTGCTGTTTTAAGCGGTTTGTCAGTACATTTTTATGTATGTGTGTGTGTTTTTAATGATTTCTCCAATGAAAGAATTTAAAGCCTTTGGCGTGTAACAGCTTAAATATACTCTTTTTTTATTGCTATTAGTTGGAATGGATGTATTCATAATTTCAACAGGACTTAAACTGTTGGGTTGCACGTCTTTTGTCCTGTCTCCCTCCCTTCATCTCCGGGCTCAGCAGATGGCTGCCTCTCCCTGAGCCTGTTCTCTCCTGTTAAAAGGAGGTTTTTCCTTCTCGCAGTCACCAAATGCTTGTTTTTAGAGGCTCGTCTAACTGTTGGGATTTTCTTTCTATTGTTTTAGGGCCTTTACCTTACAATATAAAGCACCTTGAGATCACGTTGTTATATGGTGCCGTATAAATAGCAATGAATTGAGTCTAAGGAGGTTGGAAAGAAAATGATTGGACTTCTTTGAGGTTTTCTTGAAGATGTTGCACCTCTCATCCATAAGGCTTCCTCAGTTCTAAAATCAAAAGGTGGAGAGTCATCTTGCATCAGCTGACTTGATAGGGTCACATTATAGGATTGGGCAAGCCCTCACAGTGGTTTCACCCGAAACCTCTGGAGGTAATGACCTTCGCATTTTTTCCCATCTTGGCTCATGTGATGACACACATGATTAATAGTGGCTCAATGACCTTTCTAAGGGACAACCTCTGCTAAGGTTTATTCATGGGATTACCATGACTTGGATGACTTGAATTCAGTGCAATTTAAATTGAGTTGCAGCAGGGCTTCTGTGTTAAAACAGTTAAATACTGTTAGGTATGGCAAAATTTGTTCTTAGATAATTTTCTATGGAAACTATTGAAAGCTGTAATCACAGCAGTAGAAAAATCCTTTTTTAATGTTTGTGTGCAACTACAGAGATTTTTTTAGCTTTGTTGAAAGTGTTATTACACATCAGCTTCATCTTCTCTATGCATATAGACACAGTGAAGACAAGTAGTATTTAAACAAACAGTGTAGCTGTTGCATTGTGTCGCCATAACAGCATGTTGCATCCTTTCATTTTGCAGCTTGTTTATGGGGCTGCAGTGTGCATGCAGACATCTCTGTCAGATTAAAAGGTTGGCTTTACAGCACTGCAGCAAAAACACAACAGACAGGAGCGCTGCGTGCTGTCTGATAATATGGAATGAAACCACTAGAAAATGTCAAAGGATGTCATGGAGACGTCCTGCAAGAATGCAAATGACAGAGGGAGAAAATGAGATGAGCGGATGTATGAGGTCCGCCCAGACGTGCCTCTTCAAAAAGGCGCTTTGAGGCAGATGTGAGCGTTAACCACCGAGTTAGCATCACATCTGTCGCACACTCACAATGGGAAAAGAAGACGGAATACGCTAATGGCAAGTCAGTAATATTATGTAACGTATAAGCCGTTTCCTGGAGTGACTTAGCATGGACAGCTTTGTTTCCCCGTGACAGCATCAGGACCAGAATGACAATTAGCTTAGCTATGCTTTTAGTCACATTGAGTTGCCCTCCAGCAACAGTATGGCTCTAACCAATCCAATTTGTGTTTCAAGGTAAATTGATTCCACTAAAACAAATGAACAATCGCTGAATGTGATGCGCAATTATGAAACGACAATACAGGAACAGATCATCATTCCTGTAGGTCACAATAATAGATTTACGTTTTGTCTCTCTGCTGTTTCTTTCTGTCAACAGTGACGTGTCCCATGAACGAGATACTCACAGCCTCCACGGGCGTCATCATGAGTCAGTCGCCCGGCAACGGTTTTCCCCACTTTGAGTCCTGCTCCTGGGTGGTTAAGGTAGAACCCGGCTACAACATCACTTTCACTATCGAACATTTCCAGACCAGCCGTCAGTTCGATGAGCTTGAAATCTTTGATGGTGAGTGACTGCATCTGTTAAGACAGAGAACTTGTGTTCATCAGTGCTAACATAAACGACAGTGTTTATCTGTTTGTACCTGTTTGGTTTATACCATTACATTTCCTAGTGGTTTTCTTGGTCTGGATTACCAGCTGGACTCCCTGTGACATCTCTTTTCACATATCCCCTGGCAAAAAGAGTCATTTTCACAGATATCTGCAATTAAAGGCTAAAATAAGCCAGAAGGCTAAATCCACTATTCCCAACAAAGCTCTCTGCCACTGGTTACAGAAAATCAAACGTAGGCTCCCTTTTATGGTGACAGAACATCTACATCTGCCTTGTACATTTGCATGTGATTAGAGGTACAGTCAGCATCTCTGCCAGGCTGCTCTGAGAAAGTGGTGATCGTATACACTGGTGATGCTGATTAGTGCTTTTTATCTTCTGCCGAGTGTAGAGGAACAGACATTTGCTAACCTTGGGGCTGCCAAGCCAATTATGGACTGAAGTCTTATTTTTTTCCCCATCATTAGAAGATTAGGAAATTGTGATATTTTTCAAACTTCTGTGCTTCTGTTTGGATAAAGATAAATTCTGTGCAAATATATATATGTGGATATATATATATATATATGTATATAAATTATGTGTCCTCATTACATCTTTGTTTTTTACTTTTGACTAGAATATACTTTACAGAATTTATCTCACATTTATAGAACATAAAAGCTTAGATAAAAACCGTGCCTTTTTAGTAGTCTTGTGATTTTTACAGCTGGATGCCTCTCAAATCATCATTCCCCTCACCCATGTCTTCATCCAGGCCCATCCAGACAGAGTCCTCTCCTAATCACACTAAGTGGTAACTATTCCAGTCCGCTCAGCATTACCAGTTCCAGTAACAAAGTCTACCTGCACTGGTCCTTCGATCACACTACCAGCCACAAAGGCTTCCGCATACGCTACTCAGGTGAGTCTAAAGCAGCGATTTGCTAGCATGGGGTGCATGGCTTCTTTCGAAATCGAATTTCTCTAAAGTTTTCAAGTCTTTATGAAATTCAAGGCCAACACCGAAATGCTTAAAATGTGTGGAATGGCAGACATTGACAGCTTCATATGTACACTGGGGAATATTAACTTGATAATTCTGGACCTCGTTTGTAAATTCAGTCTCTTCAGTGGTGCGTTCGGTTTACTCTCTAAAGGAGACCAATATTTGGACTGCCAACTGCAGCTGAGATGACCAGAAATATCAGCCATCTCTATGACAACCTAGTGGGGGTGGTAGGCATCTGCAACACTTGGGAATTAGTAAACACTGTGTCTTGTATTGCCTATTATTCCTCTGTTTTGTCCTGCTCCTGTGAAGGATCTGTTGGTATACGACACCTGCATAACTCGCTGTGAATTATGACTGTGTAAATATTTAAAAGGCTCCCTCCGTTCTGTATCAACACCACTCAGCCAGATTGACTAATCGTCTCTCTCCCCTCCTCTCAGCGGAGCTTTCTGTCTCCCCAACCGGATGTTCTGCCCTATTTTTCTTTTGCCTCGTTTAATATCTTCTTCCTAAGCACTGACGGATTTTGCTGTAGCGGGTTAAGCCACAGACTGAGGTCTGTTTGAGAACCCAAGAGTTGCCTCGGTCTGTATGGAATCACCTTTTGTGGTATCTTAGTGGGAAGGAAGAAACAGATAGGACTGTGTTCAGCTATGCTCCTCATCAATCCATCTTTTCTCTGAAGGGGAAGGTATTCCATTCCATTACTTCCTGTTTTTACTCTCCATCCAAGACTTCCCTCACTGTTTCACTCCATTCATCTTCTCCGTGGATTCAATTAACTTACAGTGAGCCCGACTCTGTCGGCAGCTGCAGGGTTGATTGCAAAAAGACAAACTGTATAACAGGGCAAGTAGAAATGAACACGGGCAAATGAGCTAGACCCAGATAGAAGTAAAGAACTGAACTCAAGGGTGGCTCAGAAGCCGCCAGTCACAGTGACTGACAGGAAAAGGCCTTGCAGAGGAACATATACAGTACCTTTGCAGGGTATTTAATTTGGGTTTGCATGTCTTCTTTTTCTTATCTGTGTAGTCATCAAGAAGAACATTAATGAGAAGCCATCCTCCTGATGAGAGTGGAGATGTCTGGCTCTTCAACATTAAGCTCAGACACTACTTTTGACAGCCCAAGGCCTGCACTGAACTGCCGTGTATCATCGCCTAAGAAATCTAACATCTTTCTTAGTGAACCTCAGTGTCAAATTTTGCATAAAGTGTGTTTTATCTAACATCTCTTCTGTGCCACAAAAAGGTCTGTCAGCTCACTTGAAAAGGCTCAAATTACCTCTCGCCTTGGGAAAAAAAATGTTTCAAGGTAGCAACAGTTTAAAAATGGGCAAAAACATCCTAACCTTTGACATGGCTTTAAGATTTTATACAGCAGGGAAGAGTCATCTGATTGTCTGTTTTTAAAAAATTCACACTAACTTGAAAGAGAGGCCATTTCCATTCCCACATGTTAGCAAGTTGAATTTAAATTAGCATTTTTCTAAAAATGTAATGCAGTCAGCAGTTCCCACAGCGAGTGTCATTTCCTATGTCCCGTTATCCCGTTGCATAAATTGAAAACCGTTTTGACAATCTGTGTTTCTTTACTTAAACTCCCTCAATCTTCAGCTGATGTGCAGTGATGTGCCACGCTATTGTGAAATCTGCAAAAATACAGTTTAGGCCTGGGAGCCTTCAGTTCTTTGGAAACCTGGACTCCATCGTCGGCACCATTTGCCATGATGAATGATCATCGCCGCTACCAATTTTAACCGAAAACAACAACATACACTTTGTTCCTGCTTTTTTGTACCCGTCACTTTTACGAATCTCCTCTGGGGTAGCTGACAAACTCCAGCTTTGCTTTGCAGAACAATATTTTTCTTTAATCAATTTTTCTTGTCTCAAGTAGTTTTGGGGGGTTTTGCCAGAAAGAAATTGCAGGTTAACACTTGTATAAATTCATATCCTCCTTTATGTCACCTGGGGTAGAATATGAAAAAGGGATCTGGGACTATTGAAAGAACATTAATCTGTCACCTTTTTTTTAACAACTGCATCTTATTGGCTCGTGATTGTTTGTTGTCCTCATTGAACTCAATTTTATCTTTTCCTGTATCTTTTCTTTCTTTCTTTCTTTTTTTTGTGTCAAAGCTGCCTACTGCAGCCCTCCAAACAGCCCAGTAAATGGCACAGTGCACAGTCTGACAGGCACAAAACTCGGCAGCACCCTGCGTTTCAGCTGTGACCAGGGCTTTCGTCTTATTGGCCAAAGCAGTGCCACCTGTACGCGGACTGCACAGGTGATCTACCAGTGGAACGCACCGGTCCCGCTTTGCCAAGGTGAGCGGTCGGCAGCAGCAACTGATGAGTAAATAACAAATATGTTTAATAAAATCAGTAAAGGGGTCAGATAGTTTTGATTGGCCTCGATATTTTGCTCATAAAACTATTTTCACCATTATCCTTCTGATTCAGCATCTACTCTCGCACTGTTTCTCAAAAGTAATGAATTGCTCAAGTTTTAGCACACTTTAGCTAATTGGGATTCAAGAAGACATTGTGATAGCATGATTTGATAAAAACGTTTCTCTGAATCTCTGAGATTAGAGTTTGATGATGTCACCTGCAGCCCTAAGACGGTTTTAGAGGATGCACACTTCATTGTTGCTTTAGAAGATCTTCAGTTCAATTGCTTTATGTGTTAATCTGCTGGGTTTTAGCCTGTTTTTTGCTTGTCACTTTTTGAAAACGTCCAGCAGTTTAATCGATCTTTGAAACTCCCCATATTTAACAAAAACTACACAGATGTTTGATTGAATTGCTTGTTGAAAGAAAATAAATAAATAAAACAAAACAAATAAAACCACAGAGTTGTAATATATGTCTATTTTAAAAATTACTAAGTAGCATTTTAGATTTCACAAGGCTATTGTGTCACATTCATCGAGTTCCAATATCAGTGAAATGTGTTTGTGTGCGTGTTCAGATTTTCGCCTTTATTCTATAACAAAAGCATGAAATCTAAAAGCTCTATTTCCACATTCTACTTTCCACCAGCCCTGCTAACAAAATCAGCTGAAGCATAAACTCAGAGCCGCCAGTGCCAGCCATTCAGTGTCTGGTCAAGTCTGCACCAGGTGTAATCTCCACATGAATTGCATGTGTTCTCTCTACACTAGACTGTTTATATTGTGCAGATGGTGGCCCAAGCTAATGTTTACTGCACATCGGTGAAGGCTTTCACAGTGTGTTTGTACAGGAAGCCAGTTGTTAGCTAAGCACCCCGCATACAAAGATGGTTTGTGCATTTTAGTTTTTGATATCTTACCTACCTGCTGCATTTCCCCCCTTTATTTCTTTCCCAGTCATGTCCTGTGGGATGCCAGTTCCTCCTGTTAATGGCAGCATTGCTGGCCAGGACTTCTCTCTAGGAGCCAGAGTCACCTATCAATGTAACCCTGGATTTCGGCTCTCGGGGCCCATCACCACCTCAGTGATCTGTCAGGAGTCTGGGAGGTGGAGCCCCATAGAGGCCCCACCTAGATGTATTCGTGAGTATAGTAGTGGTTTGCAGTCACAAGTAGAAAAAAAACCAAATCATTACAAAAAACCCACCACCAACAAGAAAAAAAGAATTAATCTGAATGAATTATGGTTTGATCTTTGATCTTCCAGCTGTCACCTGCCCCGACATTGGTCACTCTGCAGTGGAACATGGGAGATGGAGGCTAATCTATGGGACTCAAAACCAATATGATGCTATCATGATGCTCACTTGCGACCCAGGATATTATTACAGAGGTCAAAGGGTAATTCGCTGCCAAGCCAACAGCACATGGAACTATCCAAATCCTCGCCCAGTTTGCGAGAGTGAGTGTAAACAGTTTTCTTACTTTAAAGACTTTTAACATCTTGCTCATCTGACCCAAACAAAAAGAATGGAGCCAAACAGAACTGTTTTCTAATCAATGGGAATCTATACCCATTTGTGTTTTTCCCCCCATTTCAGTCATCTCCTGCGGGGACCTCGGGACTCCACCGAACGGACACAAGATTGGAACCCTTACTGTGTATGGAGCTACAGCTATTTTCTCATGCAACACGGGCTATACCTTGGTGGGCTCTCGGGTGCGAGAGTGTATGTCCAACGGGCTTTGGAGTGGAACACAGGTCCAGTGCCTGGGTGAGAGCTTAAACACCCTAAAATGTTTTACTACTTTCCATGTGTCCTGCACTTTGCTTCAAGCATTATTAGCAACACTTACGTGGGACTTTTTCTTTTTTTTCTCTTGCTCATCCTCAGCGGGCCATTGTGGTACTCCAGAGCCAATAGTGAATGGCCAGATCATTGGGGAGAATTATAACTATCGAGGCAGCGTTGTGTACCAGTGTAACCCAGGATTTCGGCTCATTGGAGTGTCAGTGCGAGTCTGTGAACAGGATCACCACTGGTCAGGACATACTCCTGTTTGTGTTCGTAAGTGCCACAGCAAACACCTATTATTTGTAAAGCTGTGTGTGTTGTAAGCTAGTGCGTGTCTGACTTTCTCTCTCTGCTTAAAGTGCCGTAGTGATTTTTAGTAAATGGACACACATGTCGTCTTGTTCTGATCATAACTCACTAACTGACTGCCAGTTCATAGTGATTATACTTGGGCCTGCTGGCACTAATCACCAGTTATTTTATTGCTGCAAGCATTTTTACTTAGAAGCTTCTATATATGTTTTGCACTTTTACTTACAAAGACAAAATTATTATTCCAAAAGAATGCATGGTATTTGTCTTTTAATACAAATAATTTTGTAAGAAGATTACTTTACAAGATGCCAGCGGTTAAAGCAAAAATCAGACATGTCACTGGTGTAGAGCCTGTGGCTTTAGTATCTTTTGTTTTGTTTTGTAATACAGGCCTTACTAAGGTGGTGGTGTTAAGCCCATTCATTCACTCAACTGCTCAGCAAGTGTGTAGACATGACTTTCTTTCTCCCTTGACTCTCTCAGCCATCACCTGTGGCCACCCTGGCAACCCTACCTTTGGTATGACCCAAGGAACCCAGTTTAACCTAAACGATGTCGTGCGTTTCATCTGCAATACTGGATACGTTCTACAAGGGGCTGTAAAATCGACTTGCCAGGCCAACGGGCAGTGGAGCAACATCCTACCCAGGTGTAAAAGTGAGTGCCAAATCAATGCTCAGTACCTTATTGCTGCAATTCCAAGAATACATGTGAAGATAAAAAAAATATATGTGCGGGATGTCATCTTTTACCAGATCCTGTGACCAGTGTGATGTTCATTATTTCATTAAAAGCAAAGGAAACAAAGTTGGTTAACTAGCCGTGTGTAGACAAACTAGTGTGACAGTTTATCCACGACAACTCCATCATTTCAAAATATATGTATCCATTTTTAATATAAAAAGAAATGATGACCTCACAGCCCATTGTTCGCTAGTGATCCTAGTTTCAGTCACTGTGCTAATGTACTGTTTATAAGGTTGTAGAAACCTGCAGTCAGCTGAGACTGAAGAAGTTCCAGCTGAAAAGTTTCTCCCACTGAAAACGCAATGACCAGATGCGTTGTGGAAAGTTGTGGAAAGAGACGACAGTTAAAAATACATAAATGCAAAAAAAAAAACCATAGCTTTTGATTCCAAAATAAAAATCTAATGCAAATTCCAGATTTTTAATAATATGAATACAATAATAATAATGACAGTGCATTAGGAGCAGTTGTTGACTTGAAGCTTTATCAGAAAGGAAAGTTTAAGCCTAACCTTAAAAGCAGTGTTTGTCATGAATTCAAACTGGGAGCTGGTTCCACAGAAGAGGGGCTCTAAGCTGAAGGCTCTGCTTCCCTTTCTATTTTTAAATACCCTGGGAACCACAAGTAAGCCTGCACTCTGAGAGCAAAGTGCTCTGTTGGGGTGATACAGCACTATGAGGTCTTTAAGATAAGATGGGACCTGATTATTCAAGACCTTGTATGTGAGGAGCAGGATTTTAAATTCAATACTAGATTAATGAGAAGCCAATGAAGAGAAGCTAATGTGGTAGGAATATGCGCCCTCTTTGTCATCCCTGTCAGTACTCTTGTTGCACCAGTCTGGATCAGATGGATCAAAGGCTGAGATAATAATGAGTTACAATAGTCCAGCATTAGGCACAAGTCTTGTTGAGGTATTCAAAACCACGCTAGCGTTGGTACCTGATGCAAAAAGTGAGTTTGTATCTACACCCTTGCTTATGGAGGTGCAGGTATTTTTTACTCTCCCCCAATCACAATGAGAGCGCAGGCGAAGCACAGCAGCATCTGGGGAGAGGAAGAGTTTAACTGACACGTATTAGAGGAAAATGAAATGAAACTCAAAGAGAAGACCCGATCATTTAATTACCGCAGTTTCAACCATATGGTCCGTGGAGGTTCTGGGTAATATTTACATGTCGTATTATTTCCTCTTAGCCTAGCTGCCTCTGTTACACCCTTAGGCTCACCTGTCTGTCAGAGAGACAAAGTCAGTTAATAACCATGCAGAGAGAGCCAAGAAACAATCGCAGAATCCTTGAGCTTGTATGAAAGGCAGCGGCCTTTGGAGACCGGCGTCCTGGCTTTAGCTCTGAATAAGAAGTACCCTGCTTTGCTTTGAATGAGCGAGGCAAGGACTTTTAATTTGACAGTGTTTTCGTGACAAGCGGCGCATCTCAGGCACTCGTGTCTGTCTCTAAGTCCGTACTAACTGAGGCTGTGTGACAGGCGCAGAAACGGGCCGCTCGCAAGGTCGGGCCCTAAATGTGACAAGACAGTGACAGAACCGGAGACTGATGGACTCATGAGTTTGTTTTAAATGAGGAGAAAAAGAATGTGGCCTCTTTTTTTTCCCGACACTTCTGATGGGATGGGGAGGTTACAAGTCTCACAGGAATGCTTCTTTGGTTAATAAAAAAGGGGAGAAGCACATTTGGCTGCTGCATGCATAAGCAGGCGAGATTTTCTCCCAGACATACGCTTTAAATCTCTTCGCTCTAGCAGTGACATCATATTAGCATTGGCCTTGTTTCGATGCAGATGCTGACTCTGAGGGGGCTTTTTTTTATGTGAATGCTGTGTTGGTGGAGGATGCGTGCGTTCGACGGCCATTATCCCCACTGTTGATGTGGAGACATAAGTAGCTTAGAGGTCTCGTTGTCAATCAGATTTATCACCGTAATTATAGCAATCGAGGCGTATTTAGTGAAGTGTGCTCTCCTGTCTGGCATGTACTTCCTCCCTGAGTGGAAAACTGTGCAGTAATAACACCTCAGTTCTAACTAAACCTTTAGCTTTTCTCTTAGATGAAAACATAGAGAGAAATAGACGCAGAAGGCAGAAAAAAGGGGTAAGGGCGGGAGTCAGTCAGACAAAGCTAATGATTTCCATGGTCTAGATTTTAACTATAAGAGTTCGTAGGTGCCATCAATAATGCAGGGAACACGAGAGCACCGTCAGTGCAGCCAATCTTCTGCCCCTCTTTAATCACCAATTTTAGTTGCAGCTATACTTGCCTTTCTTGGAAGACTCGTGCGTGTTTGTCTTTCGGTGATAAAAGCGAAGAGACGCAGGATAGAAAAAAAGACCCTTTGACATACCACTTACAGGGCTGTTACTTGACAGAAGGCCAAGAGGAGGAGAGGGTAACCAGGGTCCCCGCTTCTGAGTTGAACAGAGATGAATTACCTCATCCCTTCTTCCCCTCTCCCATTTTAGTCGTCTTTTCCTTTCATCCTTTTACTTCCCCTCTCTCCACACACAAGAATTTACCAGGAGGTCAGTCATTTTAGATGAGTGTTGGATCGCTTTGGAGTGTCTCTGTGTGTCTGTGTGTGTCTGTGTGTGTGTGTTGCCTGAGTACATTTTTTCAAAAACTGAATTCCGAGCTTGGAAAGCCTCGCGCTGAAGCAGCTCCACTGCTTCAAATGCGCTTTGTAGTGTTATTATGCGGTAAGTTGTAAATGATGGCACCACAGGTCAGCGCTCCGATGGAAGGAATACATTATAATAGGTATTTGGGGGATGATTTAGCTGTGCTGGCCAGCTTGGGAGCAGGAGAATGAGCAAGCTTTTAGGCACATTAGCATACAATAGGTTCATTTTGGCTGTAGCTAAGGCATACTCATGGGGGCGAGACTGGCAAGGCCAACTGGGGCATAATGGCTGCGTGGGCACTCCCAGACAGCGTTGTAGAGGCCATTAGAACTTTGGCTCCGTAGTACACATTTAGTGGCGGTTAACGGTATAGACTAGAAAGCAGCTGCTCCCCAATGTGTGCTGACTTTGTCGAGGTAATATCAGATTTCAGTTTGCTTGCTTTGGTAACATTCTTCAGCTCACATTCTGTTACGACTTTTAGTATATTCGCCACTATCAGGGCCTATTTCTCACTAACTTTGTACAGCACAGCCCTCCACCCTCTCCCGTGCTGTCCCTCACTCATCCCTCATTCTCCCCTTCCCTAACTCTCTCCATCTGGTGTTAAACTGACATGGTGCCTCTTCTCCTGTGAGCTTTCCATCCATCACCATCTCTGCACCACGACGGCCGGCAGGAGACTGCCTCTAATGAAGCAAATGTTTATTTCCGGAGTCTGCCTCCTACTTCATTTGGATTGGGGTGGATAGATGGATGGGCGGAAGGAGTCGATGGGGAAAGTAATGGACAGAGTTGGCATGAAGAAAAATAAACCAAAAAAACTATGCTTCTAAAACTGAGTCTCTATGTGGGAGACAGTCATATCAATATCAGGACATGTGGTCTATTACCAGTATGAGAGTCTTCTTTCATCTTTCTTGCTATTAACTGTAAAAAGGAAAATGTAAATGCTTATTGCTTAATGTGTTGTTTTTTGCAGTCTCGCTAACTCCCTCGCTCCCCTCTGTGTTCCTTTCTTTCAGTTGTTAACTGCACAGAGCCAGGACATGTGGAGAACAGCATTAGGCAGGTACTGTCCAGCGGGCCGCATCGCTACAGCTTCCAAACCACTGTGTCATATCGCTGTAGTCCAGGCTACTACCTGCTGGGCACCAGCTCGATCTCCTGTCAGGGAGATGGCACCTGGGACCGCTCCCTACCCAAATGCCTGTGTGAGTAATCTCTGGGTTGTTGTAGGTGATGAGGCATATTGTTTTGTTTATTTGTTTGCATTATACACTGAATAAGATCACTTAGATCACATCCAGCTGATCAGAGCAGACTCATAAATTAGTACAAATAACACATTTTAAGGAAATCAGTGTATTTATATCGGCTGATATTTCAGATACCGGTAGTGAAAATCCGATATTGGTTGAACTCTTCCTGAACAGTTATACAGGGAGTGCAGAATTATTGGGCAAATGAGTCAAAGGAGCTTGCAAAGAAAAGCGTCTGGACTTCTTTAAGTTGCTTGAAAACGTTTCACCTCTCATCCGAGAAGCTTCTTCAGTTCTAAGGTCAAATGGTGGAGAGTCCCAGATATAAACCTAGTGGGAGTAACCCCCCACAGAGGGACAAAAGGACCCCCTGATGATCCTCTAATCGCCTGAGCCAAGGTGTGAAACTGGGTGTGGGTCCCAATCAGCCAGAGTTTTGGGTGAGTTCATTGTGAAACCTGGCCCCACCTTATCATGCGAATTCCTGAGGTCAGATGGCCCAGGATGTGAGTGGGCGTTAAGGCGTCTGGGAAGGGATCTCAAAACTTGATTATAGATGGCAGAGAGTTGGTGTCGTAAACCCCCGCCTCTGTTCAAAGATGGTCGCTCACAGTGGACATAGATGGATTCTTTCACTCCTCTTTCAAACCATCTGTCCTCTCTGTCCAAAATGTGAACATTGGCATCCTCGAAAGAGTGTCCTTTATCCTTAAGATGCAGATGGACTGCTGAGTCTTGTCCTGTGGAGGTGGCTCTTCTGTGTTGTGCCATGCGCTTGTGAAGTGGCTGTTTGGTCTCTCCAATGTAGAGGTCTGAGCATTCCTCGCTGCACTGTACAGCATACACCACATTGTTAAGTTTGTGTTTTGGCGTTTTGTCTTTTGGGTGAACCAGTTTTTGTCTGAGCGTGTTGCTGGGTCTGAAATGCACTGGGATGTCATGCTTGGAGAAAACTCTCCTGAGTTTTTCTAATACACCGGCTACATAGGGGATGACAATGTTGTTGCGTCTGTCCTTCTTATCCTCCCTCGCTGGTGTCTGGTCTTCTTTTCTGTGCCTCTTTGCTGACTTTAAGAACGCCCATTTAGGATAGCCGCACGTTTACCGGAAGCCCACACACACGGACCAGTACCTCCTCTTTGACTCCCATCACCCTCTGGAACACAAACTTGGAGTAATTAGGACCCTACACCACCGGGCAGAACATGTTCCCTCTAAGCTTGAAGGGAAAAAGAAGGAACACACACATGTAAAGGAAGCACTCAAAACGTGCGGCTATCCTAAATGGGCGTTCTTAAAGTCAGCAAAGAGGCACAGAAAAGAAGATCAGACACCAGCGAGGGAGGATAAGGACAGACGCAACAACATTGTCATCCCCTATGTAGCCGGTGTATCAGAGAAACTCGGGAGAGTTTTCTCCAAGCACGACATCCCGGTGCATTTCAGACACAGCAACACGCTCAGACAAAAACTGGTTCACCCAAAAGACAAAACGCCAAAACACAAACTTAACAATGTGGTGTATGCTGTACAGTGCAGCGAGGAATGCCCAGACCTCTACATTGGAGCGACCAAACAGCCACTTCACAAGCGCATGACACAACACAGAAGAGCCACCTCCACAGGACAAGACTCAGCAGTCCATCTGCATCTTAAGGATAAAGGACACTCTTTCGAGGATGCCAATGTTCACATTTTGGGCAGAGAGGACAGATGGTTTGAAAGAGGAGTGAAAGAAGCCATCTATGTCCACTGTGAGCGACCATCTTTGAACAGAGGCGGGGGTTTACGACACCAACTCTCTGCCATCTATAATCAAGTTTTGAGATCACTTCCCAGATGCCTTAACGCCCACTCACATCCTGGGCCATCTGACCTCAGGAATTCGCATGATAAGGTGGGGCCAGGTTTCACAATGAACTCACCCGAAACTCTGGCTGATTGGGACCCACGCCCAGTTTCACACCTTGGCTCAGGCGATTAGAGGATCATCAGGGGGTCCTTTTGTCCCTCTGTGGGGGGTTACTCCCACTAGGTTTATATCTGGGACTCTCCACCATTTGACCTTAGAACTGAAGAAGCTTCTCGGATGAGAGGTGAAACGTCTTCAAGTAACTTAAAGAAGTCCAGACGCTTTTCTTTGCAAGCTCCTTTGACTACGATGACCTGGATGACTGAGAACCTTCACAAACATTAGGCAAATGAGTATTTTGTCCACATCATCCTCTTCATGCATGTAGTCTTACTCCAAGTTGTATAGGCTCGAAAGCCTACTACCAATTAAGCATATTAGGTGATGTGCATCTCTGTAATGAGAAGGGGTGTGGTCTAATGACATCAACACCCTATATCAGGTGTGCATAATTATTAGGCAACTTCCTTTCCTTTGGCAAAATGGGTCAAAAGAAGGACTTGACAGGCTCAGAAAAGTCAAAAACAGTGAGATATCTTGCAGAGGGATGCAGCAGTCTCAAAATTGCAAAGCTTCTGAAGCGTGATCATCGAACAATCAAGCGTTTCATTCAAAATAGTCAACAGGGTCGCAAGAAGCGTGTGGAAAAACCAAGGTGCAAAATAACTGCCCATGAACTGAGAAAAGTCAAGCGTGCAGCTGCCAAGATGCCACTTGCCACCAGTTTGGCCATATTTCAGAGCTGCAACATCACTGGAGTGCCCAAAAGCACAAGGTGTGCAATACTCAGAGACATGGCCAAGGTAAGAAAGGTTGAAAGACGACCACCACTGAACAAGACACACAAGCTGAAACGTCAAGACTGGGCCAAGAAATATCTCAAGACTAGTTTTTCTAAGGTTTTATGGACTGATGAAATGAGAGTGAGTCTTGATGGGCCAGATGGGTGGGCCCGTGGCTGGATTGGTAAAGGGCAGAGAGCTCCAGTCCGACTCAGACGCCAGCAAGGTGGAGGTGGAGTACTGGTTTGGGCTGGTATCATCAAAGATGAGCTTGTGGGGCCTTTTCGGGTTGAGGATGGAGTCAAGCTCAACTCCCAGTTCTACTGCCAGTTTCTGGAAGACACCTTCTTCAAGCAGTGGTACAGGAAGAAGTCTGCATCCTTCAAGAAAAACATGATTTTCATGCAGGACGATGCTCCATCACACGCGTCCAAGTACTCCACAGTGTGGCTGGCAAGAAAGGGTATAAAAGAAGAAAAACTAATGACATGGCCACCTTGTTCACCTGATCTGAACCCCATTGAGAACCTGTGGTCCATCATCAAATGTGAGATTTACAAGGAGGGAAAACAGTACACCTCTCTGAACAGTATCTGGGAGGCTGTGGTTGCTGCTGCACGCAATGTTGATGGTGAACAGATCAAAACACTGACAGAATCCATGGATGGCAGGCTTTTGAGTGTCCTTGCAAAGAAAGGTGGCTATATTGGTCGCTGATTTGTTTTTGTTTTGTTTTTGAATGTCAGAAATGTATATTTGTGAATGTGGAGATGTTATATTGGTTTCACTGGTAAAAATAAATAATTGAAATGGGTATATATTTGTTTTTTGTTAAGTTGCCTAATAATTATGCACAGTAATAGTCACCTGCACACACAGATATCCCCCTAAATTAGCTAAAACTAAAAACAAACTAAAAACTACTTCCAAAAACATTCAGCTTTGATATTAATGAGTTTTTTGGGTTCATTGAGAACATGGTTGTTGTTCAATAATAAAATTATTCCTCAAAAATACAACTTGCCTAATAATTCTGCACTCCCTGTATAGACGTATATGAGACAAAAACCTTATTTTTAAGACTTCATTTATGATCTTTGTAAACACTTTCCTGATGAACTGATCTCCTCAATGAGTAGTTTCAAATCTTACTTATTAAAATACAATATTTTTGTTTGTCTTATTTTTTTTGTTGTTGTAATAGACATTTACAGAGGGTATACTTTAAGGCACCTGGGCTTGCTACCATCAGATTAGGCAGCGTTCTTGGTTCCTCTGTCAGACTGACTCGTTGTTCCTGGTGTCTGGTTTAAATAAACAAAAACATGGTAATAGGCAAAACACTCAATTTCAATCTTCAAAACAGGAGCCCAAAAAACTAAGGGGTGATGTTACACCAGCTCTTTTAGCTATTCTTACAGATAATTATTTTTTACAACTTTACAGCAGAGGAAAGATACCCACACTGTTAGTAAATATAAAGTATTGTATTCATTTTAAATCAACATATTCAACATGTGATGCCTAAAACGTTTCTTTGCTCTGTTCGGACAGTGGTGCTGTGTGACCGCCCCAGCGTGCCTCCTTACACCCAGCTTTCAGGTGACCGTCGAACAGTGGGCTCCGTCATTCGCTACAGTTGCATCGGTCAGCGTAGCATCATTGGCAATACAACAAGAATGTGCCAGCTGGATGGGCAGTGGAGCGGCTCGCCACCACATTGCTCTGGTATGGAAAAATACACCCAGAATGAGAGTTCGAAACGCTTAACCTGACAATATTTTCTGAAGGAGATCCATAAGAAAAGACTCTAACCATCGAAATTCCATTCATATTTTGGGGTGTTTCCTGTGCTAAGCCACACGTTTTGGGTTTCTTTGCATTCTTTGCATATTTCCCCATCTAATAATTGATTATTCAGATGCAATAGCATCGCCCAGTCACACTGAGGCCCTCACAACGGCATGCCAACAAATAAAGAGTTTAGGTGGCAGCTGCTGGAAGGTAATGAGCAAAGTAGGTGGACCAAAGATGGAGTTGCCTGTCTGTGTCACAGACCTGAAGGGCAAAGAAAGTGTCCTCCATAAAACTGTTTTAATCTGCTCACATTAGACTGAGGAACATCAATGCCCATACTTCAGCCGGGTTATGAAGCAGTATAAAGACGTCAGCCCCCCCTTACTCCCACTCCTCTAACAGCGCTTTGCTTCAGGGATTCAACTATAGTCGCGCATGGAAAAAGGCTGTGGGGAAGCCCATACATCCAAATGCATATCCACAAAGTACAGACATAGAGACACACAAGCAGTTTAAAATAAAGTACCATTCTGACAGTTTAATGTCATAATTCATGACATCCATATATGGTATATCCTGCAGATTGCCAGTGTTCTCTCGACAGGCAATAAACACAACATTTTTATAAAGATTTGGCCGACTTTCTTAGCTGTGCGCTATTAAAGCGATGTTGGATGGTGCCTTGTAAAATGAGCAGCAGTGCTAAGCGTTTTGAGCTTGTTTAAATGGAAGACCTGGAATTATTGAAGGAAGGTGTAAAAGATATGTCAAAGCAGTGAAATGAAAAAGTCACATCATTTTTTACGTGTTCACCGTGCTGAATAAAGAGCAGTAAAATGTGTTTGGAAGTAACTGACTCTGTAGTGAGGTGAGAAAATATAGAGCACATTTCTCATATGTGTTCGGGTTGTCAGAAATTATTTGTTTCGTGCTACGTTTAGTTTTTATTTCTTTGTCATTTTTTTTTTCAGGAGAGGCTGCTGGGTTGTGCGGTGATCCGGGCGTTCCCGTGCATGGGATCCGTCTAGGAGAGGAGTTTACGGTGGGCAGTGTTGTCCGCTTCAGCTGTGAGCCAGGCTATGCGCTGAAGGGCTCTCCGGAGAGAACCTGTCTGGCCAATGGAAGCTGGCTGGGCACACAACCAGAGTGCCATGGTAAGGAATATATACTCTTATTTGTTCTCATAGGCTGGTACAAATGGGCGGTCGAGTCATGTTTTTGTAAATTGAAACTCACACATCAATTCAACAACTGGATCTGACTTCTGAGCTTTTCCAGGAACGAGACCATGTCAGTCGTCAAACTTAACCATTGAATGGATATATGCAGTATGGACTTGTCTCCTTCTATCATCACCCTTACAGAGATATTAAAGCTTCATGTGAGGTTTGGTTGAGAGCTGCATGTGTGCAGGAAACTATTGTGTACTGTCAGAGTAAGAAGTGCCAAAATCATAGCTATTTGCTGGCTGTCTTTAGGTCTTTAGAAGCATATAGCTGGAGTCGTGAACGTATACCTGGTGATAATTTAGGTACTTCACAGTGAGTGCTGTACTTCAGAAAATCTGTGTGTTTTCAGAGATTTTATTATACTGAATCTTCTCCTGAGTGAAGAGCTCTAAAGATACTGGGATTCGGTGAGGTAAGAGTAAGATAGGATCAATAGGTGGATTGATGTGGAACCTTTCAAATTGTGGAAAAGAGGGTGCTGAGCACTAAGGTAAAGCCCTCAATTTAGCTGTCAATTGAAGTTCCAACCCGCCTTCGCCTTTGAGCTTTTGGTGCTCCAGTATCAAGTGAGGGCTTGGAATACAACAGCTGCTTCAGAGGTTGTTCGAGAACCCGATCACGGTGCCTTCCCCTGTGTACTGTGGAAATATTCTGGACATGTCCAACTAGAGACCCTGGAGCAAACCCAGAAGATGATAGAAGGGTTACATATCCCTGGGAACACCTCAAGATTCCTTATGAGGAATTGGAGAACCTGTTTGAGGAAACCACCACAACCCGAACCTGGAAAACTACAGGGAGATATATAAGCACATAAATAGCACATTTACATTTCCTTTTGCTCTATTTTAGTAATTTATGCACAAAGTTTGCTTTGACTTTTTGTGAAGCTAGACTTTAATTTCTAGTGCAACAGACACGTAATGAGTGAAATATATCTACCAAAACTGTGCTTGAGGTGGCAGCGCGGGTTCACTAATTGCAGGTTTGGTTCCTCAGTTTCCACATGTCACCATAAAGTTGTTGGGCAAGACAATGAAAACCCAAGGTGCTCTTAATGACGGGTGAGCACCTTGCGTGGTAGCTTTACCATAACTCGGAAGTGTGTGAATGAGTGAATAATGATAATAGTAGCCTCATCAAGTCCACGGCACAAAGTGGAGCAACATCCCCCCCCCAAAAAAACCAGAAAATCATCAGCTGGAAATGGTTATTACTAACGCGACAATCAGCGACTGTGTAATTAGGTGTTGCCTTTTCAGTTTCATTGAGAAACTCGTAAAATATGCATTTATTGTGTATTTGTAAGTGATTAAACAGAAGAGAGCACATTACAGAGAATGCGTTCTCTATTGAGCACTATAAAGGTTTGCATATTTGTCCTTGTGCAACACTGCGTCTATTCCATTGCAGTCATTTGGGGGGCAAAAAAACCCAAAATAGTTTGCTGAATGTGTATTTTGTGCGCAGTCGATGGATTTAAGCTTTTCGCTGAAGCACACTTTATTAATATTGCTGAAATAGAAGACATTATGCACAATGAGAAAACAAAACAGCAGTTATTCTTCCATCAAACATCTGGAAGGCAGGAAAAGGGAAAGAAGTGTTTGTGAGTGTGCTTGGAGTTTAGATTATTAACACATCAGTGAGTATGACTAGTATGTATAGTATGGTTTATATACCTGAAGTTTTTTTTCTATTTTCCCTTTCATATCAGCTTTAGAAGTGCTATAGTAATAGGAGTATTACTCCAAAAACACCCATATATTTTTTCCTGTTTTTTTTCTATGTTGCCCTCTGTGTGTTAAACTACATTTTTCTTTCTGCACTCTAGAATTATAGAATCACTGATACGCTCGGTTTGCCATTTTGGCGAGGTCTCTTGGCAGCTATCTGGTTGTATTTCTTTGTCCCTGCCCTTTTGTTGCTCTCCATATAAACCTGGCCCTTTTCTTCCATAATCCTAGTGCAGAGTGTGTGATTTCCAGAAGCATCATCCAGTCTCATGGGCTTTTTCCACTTGTGCTCTCAGCACCCCTCCACACATTCACACAGACCCCTCTCTCACACACACCACCACCACCAACACGACCACGTCTTTCCTTCGCCTCACTCTGTGTCGATGCCTCTCTGGTATGTGTGTGGTATGCCCACTGGCTGAGGTTGCCCACCTGTTCTCACTTGGCACTGACTTCAAGGGCCAGGCCACATCTGGTCATTAAGGGAGGCCGATCATGTCCACAGGGCTCTGAGGGCCCGGGGCAAGCTGGAGACAGTAATGAACAGAACCATTGCTGGCGGCCGGACAGACACTGAGGGATTTTCTGTGCAAAGGATGTGTCCATCAAAGCAGAGTTACTTATGAAGCAGGACACAGGGGAGCATGAGTAGTGTTAGAGTGGATGGATGAAGAACAGAGAAAAAGAGGAAAAAAGCCGAGTGATGATGCACATCAAATATGTCGATTAATTAAAAGTAATTTTGTAAAATACATAGTTTGATTTTTCCAAAATGCATACAAATAAAACTCTTACATTGATGCGGAAGTCATCTTTCAAGAAAAGAAACACCGAAATAATGTGCTTTATGCATATTACAAAATAAATATATGTAATTATAGGCTTTGGGATTTTAGAGTGAAAGGTTTGAAGGTTAAATAGAAAATAAATGAGTGAAATGAAGGAATTAAAAAAAGATTTAAATAATTTCTCATGTATAATTCAGACTTTTGTCTCTGATCTTTTTAAAATAATCAATTAAGTTAAATTAAATTCCACACCAAAGACCTAATGCTCTTTCACATCTCTTCTATTTTCCTAGTGCTGGTTATCGGTAAATGAATATGACTTATTTTAATGGTTTCTCTCTCTTTTCTCTGTTTTTTTCTCTCTTTTATTTGCAGTGGTTTCTTGTGGAAATCCAGGAACTCCACGGAATGCCCAGATCCTCATTCACGATGGCCTGACTTTTTCCAGATCCATCACTTACGCTTGCAGGGAGGGCTACTACTCTACTGGACTCCTGACCCGGCACTGCACTGTTAACGGGACTTGGACCGGCAACATGCCTGAATGCTCAGGTAATTAACAGCTCCCACAAAAGAACTTCTCAGGACTGTCAGATTATCAATAGTTAAATGATAATAGTTTCGTTTTCTGTGCTTGATTTTGTTTCCACGAAGGCTTTGCTTTTAGAGAAGGGAAATGTAAAATTTAGTTATTTAATGCTCCACAAGAATTGTAAGAGAACACGTGAGTCACAATAATTGCTTCTAGTGGCCTTTGTTTTAGTGGTGGATCGCTCATGTGGTTCACTGGCTCAGCTGGAGGAAATTGGTACGATTCATGGTCCATTTCAAGGGCCTGACTGACAGCCCTTTGTCATCATGTCTCACAAAAGACGTGTGGCTGCTGTACAGAACCAAGAGACCCCAGCAAATAGAGGTCACTAAGAGAACCAGTTTCTTCTGAATGGAGGGGATAAAGCCCTAAGCAGCACCATTATGGATTTCAGAACTACGTAATTCATAGAAGTGAATGTGGTACGTGTTGAAGCTCTTTGGAAGGGCACCTGGAGGCAGAGAGGGAGGCACATGTGAGGCGAAGCAATTCTGGCTGAATGATTTCTATTGATTTGAAGGAAAAACTCTATGTCAAGGCCATGCTTGACAAAGATGGCTACAGGAACGGGAAGATGTGGCAATGACACTGGATTTTGTAGATGAAATTTATACTTGCATCGTTATTATATTATGGAAGAGGGGAATGATCTCAGTGCGCGTCAGTTCTGTGTGTGTTGTTAAAGAGATGACAGTCCTGGAAAGGTATTGTGGTTCCAGGTAGAATCTTGCCAGCCAGGCTTTGCCGGGAAAAGAGGAGCCATTCCACTTCCAAGAGGACCAGCTCCCTCACCCTGTATTGAATATTGCTGAAACATGCATGTACACATTTTGCAGTGCCTTTTTGTCCCAAGGCATCTAAGCTCAAGTTGTCATATGGCCTGGATTTTCCTTCTTTGATATTTACAGCAGAGCTGAGCAGCAAGGCTGCTGAGTCACACTGTGGAATTCTCTCTGTTGTTACTCAATCATGCTGTTTTCCCTGCAGGATGTAAAAAGTACAATAAAGGAGAAATGTGGTTCATTTTGGAACTATAGGGAGCGACCACAGACGGATACTCAACACAAGATTTTGTGTCTGCATCCTAAAAACTCAAAATAGGAAACAAACTACAAGAAGAGAGCTGTGATAGTTGCATAGCTCTCGTGTGCCATAAACCCAGTGTTATCTAAAAGAGGTTGTTTATAAGTTAACAGAGGGTTAATGGTCCATTTAATAACATCAGAAATTTTCAGTTTGTGTTTTACACAAAGTTTGGGGGTAAACTACTTGGATCAAGTGCCTATAGCACCTCATTAATTATAAGCCTCGGTCTATTGTCACTCTAAATATACATTTATTAACTTGTTTGTGTTTGCTCTTTTCACTGCAAATAATCAAATTGTCAAATATCTCAAACACAACAGGGTAGCAAGCTGAATCTATTTTTTAGTACCTTTATGTTTTTCCAGTTATCAACTGCGGCGATCCCGGAGTGCCAGCTAACGGGGTGAGATTTGGGAGTGATTTCACCTACAACCACACGGTCACGTTCCAGTGCTCCCCTGGTTTCACCATGGATGCCGATCGGGCCTCCTCTCTCATCTGCACCAAGACCCGCACCTGGAATGGCACCAAACCTCTCTGTAAAGGTAGAGTTGTATACGTTGACCTGATTGTATTTTTGGGTTACAGAATGATTAGCCTTTTTTTTGCCTCTATCAGTTTTTGCATTAAAACACTGAAACCGACAGAAAACATAAAAGTCCTCTAATGCACCCTTGTTTCCTTGCAGCAATTGTATGTGGTCCACCACCCACCATCCCCAATGGACAGGTTGTTGGGACAGACTTCACCTGGGGCTCCAGCATAAGCTACTCCTGCAACCAAGGTTACCAGCTGTCCCTACCCACTGTGTTAACATGCCAAGGCAACGGCAACTGGAGTGGAGAGAAACCACAGTGCTTCCGTAAGTGGCATGTCATGATTTGTCTCTGACATTGTTTTACCCACGTATAGTGTAGTGTGTGTCCTCAGAAGAATATCGATTTAAAATGAAAAACGTGCAGTCGGTCACATCATCTCTCTGCTTCCATCTTTACAGCTGTTTTTTGTGGAGACCCGGGAATGCCAACACAGGGGAGAAGGGAGGACAGCGGTTTCACCTATCTCTCCTCCGTCTCCTTCTTCTGCGACCCGCCACTCGTCCTGGTCGGCTCATCGCGGAGATACTGCCAGTATGATGGCACCTGGAGTGGCACGCAGCCGTCTTGCATAGGTAAGCATGATTGTTTATGATTTGAGCCTATTGGGTATGTCCATAATCCTAAAACAGCACAGAAATCAGTGCCTCTATATAACAATATAAAAATAAGCTTGAACCTGACAGAAGCTTCTCTTTGGCTGGTCTGATTACTGCTTTCGGCTCACTTTTTAGTTCCGGTTGCTATTTTCCGCCAAGAAGTAAAACGGGAAACAGGCAAAACCATTAGACCTAGCTAAATAGCTGCTTAACTCCACGAGTCAGAATTAACTTGTGGAGTTATTTAAAGCCAGTACAAGAATTTATTGAATCATTTTCCAAGCAAGTATGGACTCAGTTAATTGCTGTAGTTCTGACAGGGTCAGGGTCCTTATTGATAGAATTTACAACATTTCTTATTGAATTTGATTTATTTCACTAATTGATGCAAACTCTATCCTTGCGATGGTGTGCAGTGCTAAAGCCATGAGGGGGTTGTTGTTAAAGGCATTCAGAAAGTCAGGAACAGATTAAAGATTAAATAAATAAAATAAATGTTTCCAGCCCTGGAGGTTGTTGTGGTGTTTGGATACTTTAAAATATGCACACATGCAAACCTTTGACCCTGCTGCTAGTAAACAGGAATTTCTTAAGGCCGCAGTCAATTTCTGGACTTTGTTTAACCAGATGTGTCATGTTGGAAAGATTAAACTAAGATTTAGTGAGATTCAGTCTATAAAAAATATGAATGTCATTTTACTTACTGTGTGTTACTGTATGGCTGCTGCTTTATTCTGCCTCTCGCAAAACCTTGGTTCACAGCAGAGTCTTCCTTTTTGTGGCTTTGTTCACCGTACAGAAAACAAGATGACTTCACAAAAAACTGTTTAAAATCTCTTTGAAACCTCGTACAAAAGTTCCGTTCATTCCTTGTCTTTATCTCTTTATTCTTTAAACTATAACTATACTATAGCTTATCTTATTTCCATAAGCTAAAATAAAGTTGTTTGAGAATGTTTATGTTCTTGTGAACAGAAAAGTAAAATGACAGACACATTGAAAAACAGTTGATTAACATTAAGTAATGGGCTTCATTCCTTCAGTAATATTCTCCATTAAGTAACTATAAAGTGCTACTGTTATTATTCATTTCAGCTGACATAAACTCACAAAGCCACCTAAATACAATAAAATGTTTCCTCTGCAAGCTGTACTACTACCTCCATCAGTAATAACGGCACTATGTGATGCATGAGAATCTGAAACTTTTGCACAGTACTGTATGTTTAGAGGACCTTCTGTATTGCGGGAATAGTTAGTATAGTTATCAAAGCATTTTTGTGTGTGTGTGTGTGTGTGTATGTGTGTTTGTATGTGTGTGTGTGTGGGGGCGTATTTCAGATCCCAGTCACACTACCTGTGGAGATTCTGGCACGCCTCTCTTTGGAAATCAGAACAACAGCCAGGGCTACCAGGTGAGAATATGTGGTCACTCCAGAAATTGATTTCCATATATTAAAAATGTGATGAAACCCCCAAAATGTGTTTTTTCTTTTACCTTAATGCCGTTCATATTGTACACTTCCCTCCTTTAATACTTATTTTGCAGGAGCAAACAGGAAGCATGACTTAATGGCTACTGCAATATTGATGTTACAGCACCGCTCAGCCCACATCTGTCTTTCTTCTGATACCATATTGAGAATGTTTTCTTTGTCTGTACTCATTTGTTATTTTCTGTACAGAGTTGAGTGACAAGGGCCCAGATGGCTTAGGGAAATGATGAAATAAATAAGCAATACAATAAATGGCAGCTGAATCCCCTACAGCTGCTTTATTTTCGTTGTTCTGGTTTTGGGTGTACTCCGAGCGACACGCTGTAATGCGCTGTTAATGTGATTAGTAACCCGACAACGGCAAGTGTAATAGCAAAGTTGCAGCTCCACTTCAGTAAAAACTGAGGTGTTATTTGGATTTTTATTCTTTTTTTTATTTTTATGCATTTTCATTTACAGATCGGCAGTACGGTGTTCTTCAGCTGCAGAAAGGGCTACTTACTGCAGGGCTCGATTTCTCGCACCTGCCTACCAAACCTCACTTGGAGTGGCTTTCAACCTGAGTGCATTGGTAAGAACACAATCTAATAACAAGCTGAGGCCAATATCTCCCACATACTTCTGTCTTAACCCCTTGTCACGTTTTCTCTTCTGCTGTATAAACTTTTCCTTTATTTCTTGACTATCTCTCATCTGATTCCTGATCACGCTCATCTTTTCATCCTTTTCTTGTCCCCTTTCTTTACTATTTTCTTTTCTTTTTTGGTCTCTTTAATCCTCCTCCCTCTCTCTGCAGCCCACCATTGCAGCCAGCCAGAGCTGCCAGCCCAGTCTGATGTGAGAGCCATTGAACTGCCATCCCTGGGCTACACACTGATCTATACATGTCAGCCCGGCTTCTACTTGGCTGGAGGATCAGAGCACAGGACGTGCAGGTCCGACGGTAGCTGGTCAGGGAAACCGCCTCTGTGTGCAGGTATAAACATTGTTACATTCGAGCCATGAGGGAACGCGAAGACGTGCTCGACACTCAAAAAGCTCATGCACCTGCTTTGCTGTTTTTTCTGATGCTAAATTTCACTCACATGGCTAAACAATGTAATCGCTGTAAGACTAAAAATGTGTGCACATGGCCATCCACTTTCAACATTTACATAGCTACGTGTATTAGACACTTAAAACACCCTGTATTTGTCATGCACAACTCCATAATGTGTATTTATAAGGATTATTGAGGCAGATAAAGAATTTGGGAAAACCGCAGATTCAGCTAATCCTGATGAATTGCTTTGTTAACGCTCGCTTATTCTCAGACACATGCCAGGGTAGGGTGGCCCATCCATCACGCAATTAGACTGCATGGAATTACCTACAGAAGCACGCACAAACGCGTAAGCTTCGTATCATTAGCAAGGGTGCAAAACTTGATTAGGCCAATGCTTCCCATTGATTAGGTTAGCAGAAGTAGCTCTTATAAATGGTGAAGTAGTGTTAAAAAGGTCTAGCAGACAAATAGACTGCCATTAAGATACCCTCATTGACTTAAATACATATGGAGGGGCCAAAAAAAGAGTAATCGACATACGATTATGTAGTGTAGAGAAATGCTAATAGCTGAAAGAGAAAGCTGCACTAGAGTTGGGGATATCCACGTGATAGATTCCATGTCGGGGCTTCTGCTGAAATATATAGGCTGATGGGTGTTTTTAAGGCCATGCCATTAAGTGTGAAGGCAAAAAAGAGAGAGCCTTAGCACATACAGGATATTAACAGCGCCTGTGGGTGAAGTGATGGAAGGGCAGCTCAAAAGACTGGCAGCTAATAAAGTACAAGGCAGTGGGAGTGTGTGTGTGATGTGCATGTTTCCTTGTGTCTGTATGCGTTTATCCGAGGTGATTTTTTTTGTCCTCATAAACTACCATCAGTATACCTGTCTTTGTTTGCGGTTGCGAGTAAAGCCCTCTCCGCTCTGTTTACCTGCGTGGGTGTATGTTTACTACTGTGATGTATTCCCGCGGCCCCCTGTGAGCAGTAAGGCATTATTAAAGCACTTCCGCTGAAGCTGTGAAACCGTGTCTCTCACGCCGCAGGGATACTTGAGCTGCTTTTTGACACATGACTCAAGTCCTATCACAGGCAGCCCTCACTCTGGCCACCACAGGGGTTATTAGGTGTAGACAGGAAGTGCTGATGGTGACATCCTTCTACTGCAATTACCTTCGAGCTGTTGTGGTGAAAGTAGAAATGAGATCTTCTTTTGTCACTTCTTGAGGCCCACACTGTACCTGTTTACAGGATACTCAGGTTTATTGTTTTCTTCTGTTAATATTGTGTGTTATGCTCTCTTTAGCTGATATTCGCCCAAGTGGTAGGGGCCCGGTGGTGCCAGTGCAGGAGCCGTCCTCCAAGCACCCAGGTAAGAAAGGCACTCCTGGGATGTAAGATTACCATACTTAAACTCCTAAATGTGCTCAAATAAAGTCTATAACAAAAAAAAATGTCGTGTGAAACCTTGTTATCTACAATACGTACCTGACTTCAGTGATTAGTTCTACCTTTAAGCTGATTTCGTAGTCTGACGTTTTCTGCTGAATTGTGCAGGAACTGCGAATCGTGTCCTGAACTGTCATGGGAAATCTGTCTGTACATTCCAAACATTTGTTTATTGAACCTTCTGATGAATTCTTTAAAAGACAGAATTTAAATATCAATTTGCAATATTTTTGCTACATCCAGGATTTTTGTGCAAATTATTGTTTAGTACTCAGAGAGCGCAAATCTCCCTGAAGTTCGATGTATAGCTCTCTCAATATGATATATTACCTGATATGGTTTCTTGAATTTTTTTTTCAAGCTTTGACCTTGGGTGCTAACAGCAAAGGTCAAGTTAAAACGCCAGCCTAGGTACTCATGTTCACCAAGGCCTAGCAAATTGTTGTGTAGTCCATCCATTACAAATTGTGGGTAATATAGCTATTTAACAGATTTTCACATGTGGTGTAAACTTAACCTTGACTTGATTTTCACCAAAATTAAATCAGCTTGAGTTCTTATTGGTATCTACCGTCACACATTCAAAAATAACATGAAAACTGTGGACTCAAGGCTGCTGACAAACAGAGAGACAGTCAAACACAGAAACGGAAGCAATTACAATACTTCCTCGCTATGGGGGCACAAAAAACATACGAGGGTTTAGGGTTAAAAAAATCAAACCGAAGATCTAGAGGTCTCAAAAACTCATGTATCAAATATCAAAGACTTGTAATCACGAGGTTAATTTTGCAGAAACCCCCTCTGCAAAATAAAACACCTTATTTTTACTATTCATTCTTCCTTTGTCTTTCAGTTCCTGTTGGTGTGTTTGCTAAGAACTCCCTCTGGAGGGGATCCTACGAGTACCTCGGGAAGAAGCAACCAGCTATGTTGAGCATCACTGCCTTTGAACCCTTTAGCAACCGGGTTAATGGGACACTCATCGACCACAGTGGAGTAGAACTTAAACTGGCAGGTGAGTACAACAGTAACTCAAGATCTTCAAAAGATAAACATCACTCATAAAAACAGTCTGTGTGGGTCAATTCTTCTAAATTGCTTTTCATATCAGAGATCCGACTGAGTTTGCTTTTATCCAAATTTCAAGTGAGTTCAAGAAGCAAGAAATCAGTGTGGTCTCTGCTTGAATTGGATTATTGCTGCTGTAACAGAGCAGCAGACATTTTATATTATTCTCAGTGGTATAATCACTGCACAGCTGCAATCATCATCAAATTTCATCAGTAGCAGCCTGGACACTTCACTCCTGTAGCTGCTAGTATTTATATATAGTATTCACATATTTTCAATAGACAAACTGAGCAACAAACTATAAATTTCCCTTTTTTAACTAGCTTTCAAAATGTTTAAGATTGTTTTTATGAATTTTATCTTTTAATAGATCCATCATTTAAATGGGAAGTCTGATGAGATTTTTCCTCTGCCTAGGCAAAGCTTTCGCATTTCCAGAACTCGGTTTTGTCCCTAAACGATTAAAAACCCATCAGTAAGACCTGCTGTAGCACCGGCTGACAGATATCTTTATTATAGAGGTGTTATATTGAGTTGACTTCACATACACTGTAGGTTTTTATGGGGTTTATTGACAGTGACAAAAAAAGTTGGTTATTGTCGGCCATAATCTTTCATTACAAATTGCCTCGCTTGGAAGGGGAATAAAAGTGAAATGGGAACGCTGTTTAATAAAACTTAAGCAACTGTGTGTTACTATACGAGTTATTGTATGAATCACAGCAGCGAGCAGCAACGATTGGGCTCTCGCACCTTCACAGTTTCTTTTTTTTGTGTTTTGTTTAATGGCACGTCTATCGCTGCATGTCATGTGTAGAACACACAATATAAATACAGAGAAAATTAAAGATTCATTAAAGCCAGTAGACTGCGCTTCGTGCCTCCAGGCTGGGAACCGTCTCAAAATTTAATAATGTATTTTTACCTGCAGTAATTCTTGGCAAAACAGTGCCATAGCCAGTCAGTTTATCAAAAGTGCAAAAGTTTCACTAAGGTCTTAAGACAAAATATGTTAATTTTAAATGGCTCTCAAGGAAGAAAAGTACAAGGTCTGATTTTTTTTTTTTTTTAAAAAGGAGATTGGACTGTTGCTGCTCCAGGATTTTCTTTTGCACGCCTTTGATGTTTCACGCGGCCTGCTTGCGGCCTGCCATATGCTGGTGAAACTTCTGACGTGCACGTGTCTATTGTGCCTCCTCAAAAATGCATTTTAGTGAGAGGGGAACATGAAAGTAGAATACTGAAACATTTTCAAGAGGGCGCCACCTTGCACCTGTTTCCTAAAAGCCTAAATTTAGATTCATTTATTAGACAGTGTTGGTGACTTGCCATTATCCATAAGAGTTCCATTTTCCCACGGGGGATTCACAAGATAACGACAGGTGGACAGAAACAGAAGAAAGAGTCGACATGAACTCAACAAGAGGCCGGCTCAGAGCAAATGTCATGTCTTTTTATCAAACGAGTGTCTGTTTTTCCGAAATAACTGCAACCCCTTTTCTACAGGTACATATAAGAGAGAGGATGCTCAGCTGGTGCTGCAGGTTCATCAGATCAGAGGCCCTGTGGAGATCTTTGTCAACAAGTTCAAAATGGACAACTGGTCCCTAGATGGACGTGTAAGTGCAAGGGTCTGGTCCAGAACAACACCTCTTGTTGTACTTGAAAAGATTTTACACAACATACACACATGCATCTACATTGTGAACTATGTCGAGCACACTAACCTTGTCACTCTAGGGAGATGGAGGGCCCACCAAGAGTTTTCTCTTTAATTAAAATGTCAGTTAAATCATTGCCTGGTAATCAGGACTCCACAGACCCACACCACCCCCTTTCACTCTTCTCTCCCATATTATCCTCCGACCTCAGGCACCACTAATACACTCTCTCCCAATTAATTAAAAAAAAGCAGGTCACAGTAAATGTGGTTATGTGGTGCTGTGTTTATTCAAACATGCGTATGTGTCATACGATGCACATCACATGAGTGTGCCCCGGTGCGAATCCTCTGTGTAATCCTCTTGGGTAACAAGCTCACATGTGTGCAGCGGGGCTGAGTGTGCGTATGTTTGTTCTCTGGATCAGAAAAAAAAAAGAAAAAAACCCGTCACATTAAATGTCAGCCACGCGAGTGCCTCTCAGCTCTTTTTGACGTGATATTTCATTTTCTGCGTGCACCAGCTGCTGACACTTTGGTGATACGCTCCTTTGTGAAGCCGGGATGTGACACATTAAGCGTCTGTCTTCCAATCCTTTCTCTCCCCAGGTGTCCTACATCTCTTCTTCCAACTCCTACGTGTACCAGGGAGTTGTCACCGGAAAAGGCTTTGGCCAATTTGGTCTCCAGAGACTGGGTGAGTGAGTGGTCCACTTGGTCACAGAAACCTGTGACCGAGTGATCTCCTGGGAAGATTTTGTTTTTCTTTGGATTTCTATTCAAAAAAAAATGTCACTTGAGATGTATGTAATGTCTCTAAGCTCTTACAGCATACACTGTGGTGGGTTTCACTTATCTGTACAGTGTAAATACTCTTTAGGATCATGTGTCTGTGAAGCTAGCAAGAGGCAAACACAAATGACATCCGTATACACAAACCATACACTCACATTCATAAACAGCTAAACAGAATGTTTCCTTTGACAGTTATTTGTTGACACCTGTAGTTTTTGCCAAGTAGCCTCATATCTGGCAGTTTTCATGTAGCAAATATTATCTGTTCATTGCTGTGCGTCATTCTGTAGTTCCTTCAGCAACTTCAGCTTTGCTGCCAGAGATGTAGAAGTGCTTTTCAAAGAGTTACAGCTGTCCACATACAAGGTGTGATCAGAAGGTTTTGGAAACAAGCCCATAAGATTAAAACATTGAATCAATTAAAACTGATTTAAAGTTAGTATCTGTCCTGAGTGCAGTCTGGATAGCCCCAAGAAAATCATACTGAGCAGGAGATCTGACATTTCCCATCTACCTCCTTTTGCACTGTGAACAAGATTTTTCCACAGAATTAAAATTTTACTTTTAACCTGACCTGGCCTTCATGTGGATGATCATCCCTGGTGATGGGGGTCCATCTCAGCAGTTTTTTGCCAAAGGGTCCACAGTTTGTTTCTAAGCTCAAAGGCAAACCGTCAGTTGAAGAGTGACCAGGAGCATGCTGTTTGATTATTTTTCTTTTAGACATGGGGTTATGCACTGTAAATCTGTCCCCCAGGGTGAGACTGTTATTGTAGAGTTCTACTGAAACGCCCTGAGGCGTCTAGGGGGAGAGCGCTGAGTGGAAACGGCATCAAGTGTGTGCCAACCTGCCATCTCCAGCCAGCGCAGAGCACTTTGAAAACGCAGGAGGTTTTTGGCTACACGTACACAATCTTTGATCACCATCTGCCCCACAAGCCATATTTGCCTCCTGCAACATTGTCCACTCCTTGAAAATGAAACTGAAGGGTCCCTGTTTTGACAGACTGCCGCGCCTCACATAAGCACAAGTGCAAATGGACGGAACAAAACTTCCACTGACAGATCGAAACGTAGCAGTTGCGGTAAAAACAGCCGTGAAAGATATGAACAGAGCTTTAGATCTTCTCATGCACCCAAGAGCTGTTTAATCAAGCTGTAGATGAACTGTGCATTAGTATTTTTTAAGGCACATTTTACACCACGCCTTGTATCCTGTCTCAAATTTGTGATGTATTATGCAACTCATACATGCCTTATGTGTTAAAGGTACAGTGTGTAAAATTTCACCACTAGCTGTCAGCAGATTTCTTACTCAAGTGCAGAATCCTTGCTACAGGGGCCACTTATTAATCCCTAAGGAAATTGGGGATTAAGATCAAGGATTAGGGAAAAACAACTCTGGCCGCCCTTCATCTGTAGAGAGTATATAGTCGGTCAGTCTGCTGTTTACCTGTCAATATGTGCCCAAATCTATTTACCCTGGAGGAAGCTGTAAAACTGTGAAAGGAGTCCGATACAAGTCGATGAGTCAGTCAAGCTCACTTCTGGCGAGTTGTTGAGGACATCCTGAACTTTATTGTCAGTAAGGACTGCTGTTAGCTGACAGTAGTGAAAACTTCTTTGAAGTAGATCTAACATTGTTTAAGTCCATGCAGATAACCTCTCATACGATGTTAAAATGTAATCAAATGGTTTATCAGAGGGAAAGACGGATTTTTAGGACACTCAAGACTGAAACATTAGCTGGAATAATGCTAGCTTATAACAAGCTGTTGTTGTTATTTAGCCGTCTCGTTATCAGCTGTGTGGAGACAGGAGGGTCCCATGTATAATTTGCTAACAAAGATTAATAAAAAAGCATGTTTGCACATGTTTTCATCTGTTAGCACCCTGACTTTAGTTTACCAGATGAGGCATGACGTGAGGAAGAAATGAGGGACGAGAGAGAGAGCAGTGTTGGAGGAGGAGAAAGATATAATGAGACAGAGATGATGAAAATATACATTAACAAATTGGACAATGGGCTTGCTCATAGGGGGTCATATAATTGTTGGGTTTTTCGCTGTATCTATTAATGTGCGATCTACTGTACAATATAAAGCACCTTGAGGCGACTGCTGTTGTGATTTGGCGCTATATAAATAAAATTGAATTGAATTGACAAGACCCGATTAAGCAATTTAATTCAGTTCAATTTTATTTATACAGCGCCAAATCACAACAACAGTCGCCTCAAGGCAATTTATATTGTAAGGGGTAGACCCTACAATAATACATACAGAGAAAAACCCAACAATCATTTGATCCCCTATGAGCAAGCACTTTAGCCACAGTGGGAAGCAAAAACTCCCTTTTAACAGGAAGAAACCTCCAGCAGAACCAGGCTCAGGGAGGGGCGGGGCCATCTGCCGTGACTGGTTGGGGTGAGAGAAGGAAGACGGGATGGCAATGTCCTTCTTGTCCACTGTTTTCAAGATGTTTGGGCAACATCAAAACATCAAAAGCACTTGCTCCTATGGATTTTGAAAGTATTATATCTAACTTTAGGAGAATGCATCAGTGTGTTGGAAGCCATTATGGCTCACTAATCAGTGTATATATTTATAAGTACAATATTATTTTTTCTGTTGAACAATATCCCTAAAATTACATACTGTACCTTTAAACCTGAAGTAACATTGCTTTTGTGTCAGATCCACCTGACATACAATGCTTCAATGCACCAATACATGGCTTTCTTTTATGTCAGAAATTAATGATGCATGTGTCATAAAAAAGAGAGTATATTTAAGGCCCTTTTTTAACTGTATTGCTGTACATTTATTCTTTAATTTTACATCATTCTTCATATTAGTTCTGGTTTAAGAACTAATCCACAAAAAAATGGGAAAAGTTGGGGACGTGAATTTAAAGTTCCTATAACAGAAACCGTACATTGGGCTTAGTGTGATTTCTGAGTGGGTACCTTAAATTGCTTAGTAATCTGATAATAACTTAAATGAAAGATTACTTTTGTCCTAAGCTTCCATCAGCAGTCAGGGACGCTTGATTAAGCATTGTTAATTTCTCACGTACCCGTGATAGGTTTTGCCTCGCTCCGAGTCTCTTTAGCTCACGGTATTCATTAAAGGTCGCTGCGCTATACAGAGAAACAAGTAGAGGAAGAATGAATTGTGACATTGTTATGTTTAAAATAGATCCGCTGTCCTCCAGATTTTTTCTTTTTAATCTGCTCACATGATGTCATATCTCGTATTCATATAAACAGTTAAATCGCAAATGCTGCTGCTGCTTTGGCTGCTTTCGTATTTGCAGAGACATATTTCAGAGGAATTTAGCAGCTTTTGAAAAGCAAAGCCCACGCTGGAGACGCTTCCATATTGGCTGCTAGACAAACTAAAGAAGCCGAAGTGTAGGTACAAAGACGGATCAGATACAAGCAGGAATTTGGAATTGAGCGCGAAGTTACGCCGAGGGTAACATAGATTAAGTGTGTGTGTGTGTACACGGTGAAAGTGGATGTGAAAATCTGCTGTAGTGACAAAGGTGTTTGAACAGCGGGTGCGGTCCACAGATACACACATGCACATCCTGCTACAACAAACTGATTGAGCAAACAGCTCTTAATTAATACCGAGGGTTAGGGCTTATACCAGGGTATTCATGTGTACGCAGGTTTAAGCGTTTATTTTAAAAAAATTTAAAAAGCAGATGCGTGTGTGGGAGGTGGGCTAGACATCTTTGAAATAATCCAACTTAATTTGTCGACATTTTGCGTTTTGTTTTTAACTCGGCGGTGTAACCGCCAGTGCGGTCTGCCTGTGTTTGTGCATCTGTTTGTGTGCGGTGGGGGGTTGATTGGCAAACACCGCACAACCCGCTAATTTAATTCCTTCCTGTTTATCTCTCGTCCTTTATTGGAGTGTTTTTGGCATTCCGTGGCAAACAGGTGGGCTGTCACTCCTCCGCTGTTGCTGTTACAGACACACACCTCCATAAATTAGAGAATGAATCTGAAATGAGTTAATAGCTGTCGGGCTTTGATGTCAGTAATTAAGAGTCATTGTTGGGATAATGAAATTTGACATTCCCAGGGGGCGAAATGAAGCTAAAGTAAAGCAATAAACCAAGAAGAAGAAAAAAAGCCAGTTTATGCTGCTCGGGCTATTATTTATAAATGGAGTCTTCCTGGTAGCCTTCTTCAGTCATCACAAATTCTTTTATGACATTGTTATCCTATTTATTTCCACTTATGGACTGAGGAGGATAATATCACTTTTGTTTATTGGAACTTTTTTTTATGGGACTTAATTGTAGTCATACGCTGAAGTAATGCTCATGTAATGTCTCAACTTCTTGTCTGTCTCTCTTCCAGAGAGTTTAGATCCCAGCAGAGACCAACAAGGCTACAACTTTGCCTCCAACAGCAGTTCAGTGGCAGCAGCCATCCTAGTGCCTTTTATAGCCATGATCATTGCAGGCTTCGCTCTGTACCTCTACAAACACAGGTAAGGCTCGCTACAACTCCAAGCTGATCTTTATTATTTCCCTATTCAAGGAGGAGTGTCCTTGAATAAGACCAGAAAAATGACAAACAACATTTTCTGATAGCTTATTTTATTTGTTGACAGTGCTGAAGAAATGCTTAGTGCGATTACATTTCAGGAAATGAAGCATCCAAGTGGCCGCATCCTATTCAAGTCATTCTCCCTATGTTTATAAAAGCAATATCATTGCATCAGTGATTAGGTTACCCATATTCTGCACGGATTCCTTTTCTTTTTTACTTTGTGAGCCTGCAAGAATATTGAGGCGCACATGCTTTATTGTTCAAAATACACAATACACTGCAGACACAGGGAACAGCAGAGGCATGAAGCAGACCGATATGACACAAGACAAGTGACAAGGGAGAGAAAACAACACATGCATATAAGAGAAGCTGACAGGGAATATGTTTACTTGAAGTTCTTTCCAAGTTGGTGAAGTTTGCTCTTGCTTGAGTATATGCATCCTCCTCCAAAATACATTAACTTCAACTTCACTTTTTTTAATCCACTAAAGGCATATGTTACCCTCAATATGAGAAAATCTGTGATAACAGGAAACCTTCCCTGCAGAGAAAATTTGCTTCGTAACCATGACACAGCAGATTGTGGATGCTCACAACATTAGGAACATCTGGTGCTAGGAGTGGATAAAGATTATTGTTCATCCACCCCCACCCACACCTCCTTTTGTTTTGTTTTTTTAGAAGAAGACCCAAAGTTCCCTTCAATGGTTACGTGGGCCATGAGAACACTAACGGGCGAGCCACGTTCGAGAACCCCATGTATGACCGCAACATCCAACCCACTGACATCATGGCCAATGAGACAGAGTTCACAGTCAGCACAGTGTGCACAGCTGTATAGCAACCGCTTCCTCTGAAGGTGAGTACCACACCACCGTTGGGTCACCCTGGCTGCACGATATAAAAATAACTTGGAACTTCAGGCATCCATGATTTCATATTTTTCTCTGAGCGTAGATAACGTGAGTCTGAGATAATCGCACATCTGAGGCGCCACAACTGTTGAAGCAAGACACAGTTTCTCCGAATGTAGTTTCAGACTCAACCTTTTACCTTCGTCCCATAAAGACTTTTCTATGAATAGAAAAAAACCAGGGATTGGTTTTCCTCCTGCAGTCTTCCCTTTGATCCGCACACCATCATATTAATTGTATAAAAAAAATAAAGTGTAGTTTGTTTATAAAAATAGAATGGTTATTTGGAATCATGGGAAAATGACATTAATGCATATATTTTCTCTGCTCTCTGTCATCTTTATCATCTCCATTGTTTGTTTCTTTATCCTTTTCTTTTCAACCCACTTCTCTTGTTTCCTGGATTTGAATATATCTCTTTTCCCTCACCCTTCCCCACCATTTTCTACACACTCATCCTCTGTTACATCACCGATTCAGTCCGGGGACGAGAGGTGCACCACGTCCTCGCCTGCGTGCCAGCTGAGGACATCTATAGCTCCTTGAGCAGAGGGCAAGACAAAGATTATTTTATTTGCTGAAATACCTTCAAGAAACATCTCCAGCGGAAAAGGCGCTTACCTGCTGGCGATAAGAAAACAAACAGAAAGAAACCACGTGAAGACAACCATCTGAACACACGACAACAACAACGCGCTTTTCGTAACTTTACGTGGTTTCTTGATCATTCTCCATATTTCGAGGAAAAGCTTCCACCTTAAACTGCAGCCAGCGGGGAGTACGACTGGGAGCAAAGCTGTGATGACTTTTCTCACCGCCTAAACCCAAAGGGAATTTTACCTGTAAACTTTTAAGTCGAGAAATATACCTGTAGCTTACGGAGGCCTCTGTGCAAGCGAACTGTAAGACGGGCAGCGGCGTATTGGCTTGTGTGTGAATCTGAGGGAGACGGTCTGGACTGTTTCGATTCATCTTTCTCGTTTTTTTGTTTTTTGTTTCTCATTAGCTATTTTTATTGTGTTCGCTCTTATATGCTGCTCACCTTATTCTTTGAGTCGCTGGATGCCAGTTTTCTTCCCAGCTGTCCGCTCCTGAGGTTCTCGAAAAGTATCATCGGGGACCCCTCAGTTTCTGGCAGAGGATGAATTAAAAATTCAGTGAGTTTTTGAAGGCCTTGCTGGAGACACACACACACAGACACACTCGACTTCATCTTTTTTTTTGTAGCAGGAATAAAATTCTGCTTGGCGAGGCAGCTGTGTCCAGTGTAGGGGTTCAAAGGTAGCTTGGGCTGCTGAAATTAAAAAAAAAAAAAAGCACTTAGTGAGGTTGTAGTGAGAGTTGTACATGCGAGTGTGAGTGCGTATGTTCATGTGCACATCTTGTAGCTGCCCTCATCTGTTCTCACCCTAAAAATCCAACCAAACACGCAATGCTGTCTTATTTTATTTTTTTGTTGCTTTAAGAAGTGAAAGTATTGAGTTTACGAGTTTAGGATTACGCCAACTCAGAGGCTCCGAAAACCAGTAAATTAAACGTCGACAATCTATAAATCCAGTCTCCATCATTTTTCTTTCTTTTCTTTTTGGTTGGTAGCGATCGATCAGATAGATCAAAGGGACCGAAGAGAGACAAATTCACTTCTCAAGCTAACACACTTGAATCAAAGGTTAAGCAAGGGGAAGTACTCTTGACATTTGCTCCAAAAACAGGCTTTTTTTTAACCATGCCGCCACCTCTGCTCTGAGGCCCTTGAGGAGAAGGGACCATGTCGCAACAAACCACAATGTAGCACAGCAAATCTGTATTTAGATTACACTATCTGCTTTTTTTCTTTTCTTTTTTAAAGTTTCTTTTAATCCCGGATCCAGCTTTGCTCGTTTCACTGGATTAAAAGGTGACACAAGTTGCAGCAGTAGCTCCGCTAAACTTTGGCCTTAGGAAAACAAAGATCAAAGTGCGGTCATGTTCTCGCTCTCTGGAAATGTTCAAATGAAGGCGCTGGGGTTTGAAGAATGGATGAAGCGAGAGATGCGTTCCCTCTGGATTGCATTCAGGTCTTTTTCATGCAAGCTCACTTCTGACAGCTCGCTCCCCTTTGGAAAAAAAAAAGAAAAAGAAAAAAATTGCGGAAATGATAAATATGATTTTGGGAGGGGGTTGAAAAAAGTGTTTATGTCTTTGCTGCTAACGCTTCCCCATATCTATGGCAACTGGGGAGTGATATGCAAAAAAAAATTATATTGAAAATGCAACACAGGAGGAAACTGTCATCTAATATAACAGCGGGGCTCTACCTTGGCTGGTGAATGACACGTCTGATGAAAATACGAATGCTTTGTGACCCGTATTAAGTGTGTGTGTGTGTGTGTGTGTGTGTGAGAGAGAGAGAGGGGGGGGGGGGGGGGGGGGAGATGTTTTCAAAAACACCCTGCTCCACTTCCTGCTCCCGTACCTGTAAATGCTAACCTGCAGCTGCTAGGTGAGGTGAATAGTGTGCGAATTTCACAGGAGCAAATTGGGCCATTACGTCTAATTTGCATTAATTTTAGCTTCATTATCAAACCCATAAGAAAATTCATTTTTACATTCCCAATATCAGGACACGCTCAGATCCTTTTCACTTCTTTAGTTCCTTTTTTGTGTGTGTGAGTGTGTTAAAATCAAAAAAGGAAATTCATCTTATGGATTTTTGTTGCTGCGTTATTCTTATTATTATACATTTCTTTTTTTTAATGAAGTCTTTAAATTTGCCCGTTGTACATAATTTCCCTCAGAATTCCAGACCTTTTGAAACCAATCACCGTATTGTTTCTTCAATCAGTTTCGCTGTGGGTCGGTAATTGCTTTTACAATTTTATTACTTTTAAAGCTCGCGTTTATCTCGGCCGTACAGATAGAATATTGCCCCGTGCTTGCTCTGGTAGTGAATTGATGGGAGAGGAAACGATTGAATTACCCTGGATATTTCACAGGGAGAGGAGAAGTTGCTCGCGCATTATCTCAAAGGAGCTGCTACTCAGTTCCTATAGTTTTCTGTGGCTGTTGCACGTTGCATTTCATTTGTTTTTTTTTTGTGAAATTGCTCCAAATATGTCAGCAAAGTGGACGGCTTCATTATTAAATCGCAGCTTCTGTTGAGGGCACTTTCAAGCGGTCTTTTCCCCAACTTACACAAAACGATCAAACGAACACGTGTAAATAAGGACGGCGTGTTCACGAACCCCCAGAGGAAGCAATTCCGTTTGCCTAGATTTAGACTATAAATCTGGATTAACATAATACAGAAGCAAGCGCTCACACAAATATGATTGTTTTTACTAACAAGGGCTCATTCCCCACAAATTCAAGGATTAAAAAAAAGGGCCAAACACAATTTTCTTTTTTTCTTTTTTTCATGTTCGTACCTCCAGGAAGCACTTTATGTTAATTATAGTGCCTTGTTACCCCCTTATATCATAAATATGCTTTAGACGCAGTGTTCTTATGTTAAGGAATTCCAGTATCTTTCCTAGGATTTTTTTTTCTTTGGGAAGGGGGGTTTCCTCTTGTTATGTCAGATATTAGAAATGTAAGTCTTTTAGGGTTTTCGGTAAAGCCCTTATCCCTGCCTGAGTAACCCACACACACTGAAGAGTCCGCAGGCTTTGTAGATCTGTTTTTAATCTTTGATCTCACTGAAAATCTGAGCTTGTTAGGTTCATGCCAGAGTCACCATCAGTTTGTTTTTTTCCCCCCCAAACGAGCCGTGTGCTCAGTCGTACTGTATTTTGGTGTGCAAGGATTAATGGCCAGGACTTTATGTTGTTGGCTTCGTGCTCGGCTGGGTGTTTGCCCTCTGTTTGCTTTGCGAGTTTAAAAATAAACCAAAGAAAGTTATCCAAATTCAGACGATTTAGAATTAGACATATAGTGATAAAAATTAAGATTTATTATTCTGTCACGTCTTGATGTTGCTTAATTTATTTCTGCTGTTGTTTTTTTATGTCAAGCAAACCATTTTATGGATACATTTCCCTTAATGGTCAGTACATCTATAGAAGTATTTAACCTATCTAGTGTTAGCCCAGAAAGTCCAGTCATATGAAAGTAAAGATCGCAGAGCTCTCAATGAAGCCGTGCTCTAAGAGTCAGAATTAAGTCTTTCTTAATAGCAGCAGGCTACTTCCTGGTTCTCTTTGCATATTTTAAGACACAAACGGCGCTCATTTTCAGTTCATTTTCGTTATCAGCCGGTCACAGCTCTGGGTTCTGTCCTGCTCTCCCATCTCTTCTATAATGAAACACACCACAGCTATGGTCTTTGAGTTTCCTTCAAAAGTTCACAGAGTTTTCCTCGCAGTCAGGGACCCGACCAACGGCTCTCCCTTTCTTCGCGCAGCACAGGACAGCACTGCACATGTATTGAAAGACCGAGCGATCCATCAGTTATGCCGTGTGACACGTTCTGCATCAGCTATCATTTATAATCTCCCGTCTCTCACTGCCACCACATATTGATGGCCAGACAACAAATCTCAACTTCCCCGCTGTGTTTTACAGGCCCATTCCATGCAATTTGCCTTCACTATTCAGCCCATTTCAGCTCTTCTAGTGGACTAAAGCGTGGGGAGAGAGGGAAGGGATGTATTTTGAAAAGCTTTGAAGCTTAAATGAGTTTTATTCTTTCAATGTGAAATGCGAGCAGCGTGGTAGTAGGATCATTCGTGATCAGATCACTGGATTTATTGCTCAAAAACTACTGAATGTATTTCATTTCACTGAGTGCACCAGAATTTATCTATCTATACTGTGTTGAATATCTGTAATCCCACAACTTTTTCTCTGTTTGTGTGCAGTAATGGATAAAAAAAATATATAAAAAAACCTGTCAGTATGTGTTATCTTTGGACTAAAAACAGAATGTCCAATTTATCTAGAGTATAATATAGCAAAGTATTTACAAAGAGCTGCTTTTTTATTACCAGATATTTTTCTGTTAGTTTTTCCATGGCAACAAACTTATAAAGTCCCATATTTTCATTTTGTTTTCTTTCAACATGTTTTTTTCAAGCCAGTTCTGTAAATCTCTCAACTAGTCTCTATGTGAGACTGAAAAACCCGCAATGCCCAAGCAGGTTCGACATGGCCATTAAAGGCCTCAACGAGAAAAAAAAAAAAGACAAAACGGCGAAAGGCAAAGAGCCAGTGTCGGTGTCTCGCTGTACACCAAAAGGATTTACCGGTGACGACGTGGACAAACGTGAGCTTAAGCAGACTGTGCAACGACAGAGCAACTGCAGAGGAAATATCTCTGAGATAAGAGAATATGTTAACAAATAAAAAAAAAACCTTTTTTTGTACAGAGATATATTTTTATGAAAATACATTTGTAATATAAAAAGAAAAAATGGATTGACATATATGTAAATGTTTTTCTTTTTCATTATTGTAGTACAAATGCTAGTGGGGAGTATATGAAAAATCTATATATAAATATAAATATATATATATAAATATATATATATAAATATAAATATATACAAAGAAAAATAGAAACAAGGCTTTTTTTGTATATGTAAAAAAGATTGTATATAAAAGTTTACATACATACTGTACATATGTAAGACCCACCATGGCTTGTCTGCAATATATAAAATGTATTTTATCTGTCTGTATATGATGCTTTGCATTGTGTCTAAGCTTATTCTACTTTCTTGAACTTGAAACTTATTTTGAAGGTTTTGGAATAAAACATAAAACCTACCACTTGGGTGAATTCTAGTGTTTATTGCCTCAAACCCATAATCATTAGTTAATGCATAGTATGATGTATGTATCGTGTATAGCCTTTCTAAGGGGGGAAGAGGCAAGGCCATATATCCAGTGTTCCTGGTGCGTGTTGCAATTGTGGGTCAGAATATCTGATTTGCTCTTTATGGTGTTTTTTTTTTCATGTATGTTACTTTTTTTAATGGAGAGACACAGAATATCAACCAAAAACAAATCACATCACATTAAGTATGTGACACAGATTACAATCAGTTGTTCAAAACAGATACTCCTGGTCTTAACTCATTATGTGTACAAGCATGTCCAAAGATCTTTTTTTTTCCCTATTCCAACCTCTAACCACCAACGAGCTGTCAAAGGATATCAGGGACAAGATTGTAGATCTGGTGGAACAGCCTAAATCTACATGGGAGGAGCTTGTTAGTGATCTGAAACCACCATTGGCAACGCATGTCACTGTAATCTTACAGCGCCCATAAGGTCCCCCTGCTCAACAAGGCACATGTACAGTGGGGCAAAAAAGTATTTAGTCAGCCACCGATTGTGCAAGTTCCCCCACTTAAAATGATGACAGAGGTCAGTAATTTGCACCAGAGGTACACTTCAACTGTAAGAGACAGAATGTGAAAAAAAAATCCATGAATTCACATGGTAGGATTTGTAAAGAATTTATTCGTAAATCAGGGTGGAAAATAAGTATTTGGTCACCTCAAACAAGGAAAATCTCTGGTTCTCACAGACCTGTAACGTCTTCTGTAAGAAGCTTTTCTGTCCCCCACTCGTTACCTGTATGAATGGCACCTGTTTGAACTAATCATCTGTATAAAAGACACCTGTCCACAGCCTCAAACAGTTAGACTCCAAACGCCGCCATGGCCAAGACCAAAGAGCTTTCGAAGGACACCAGGAAAAGTATTGTAGACCTGCACCAGACTGGGAAGAGTGAATCTACAATAGGCAAGCAGCTTGGTGTGAAAAAATCAACTGTGGGAGCAATCATCAGAAAATGGAAGACATACAAGACCACTGATAATCTCCCTCGATCTGGGGCTCCACGCAAGATCTCATCCCGTGGGGTCAAAATGATCATGAGAACGGTGAGCAAAGATCCCAGAACCACACGGGGAGACCTGGTGAATGACCTGCAGAGAGCTGGGACCAAAGTAACAAAGGTCACCATCAGTAACACACTACAATGGCAGGGAATCAAATCCCGCAGTGCCAGACGTGTTCCACTGCTGAAGCCAGTGCATGTCCAGGCCCGTCTGAAGTTTGCCAGAGAGCACATGGATGATACAGCAGAGGATTGGGAGAATGTCATGTGGTCAGATGAAACCAAAGTAGAACTTTTTGGTATAAACTCAACTCGTCGTGTTTGGAGGAAGAAGAATACTGAGTTGCATCCCAAGAACACCATACCTACTGTGAAGCATGGGGGTGGAAACATCATGCTATGGGGCTGTTTTTCTGCCAAGGGGACAGGACGACTGATCCGTGTTAAGGACAGAATGAATGGGGCCATGTATCGTGAGATTTTGAGCCAAAACCTCCTTCCATCAGTGAGAACTTTGAAGATGAAACGAGGCTGGGTCTTCCAACATGACAATGATCCAAAACACACCGCCCGGGCAACA